ACGGAATTGTGTGCACGCGGTACCTTTGAATTTGGTCTAAAACCATTCAAAGGTACCTTGTGCCCACAATCCCTACCGACGCACTCAAACCTGTGCATCATTTGTATATTACTACCCTTCTCCAATCTTATATGCTGAGTGCCTAGCTAGAAGGCAGAAGGTCCCATTGTTATAAGTCTGTGGTATGACTCGGCCGGGGTTCAAATCCACGACCTCCCTTTCATGAGGAAGGCACTCTAACCACTGAGCCATCCCTGATTATGACACCGCAGGAAAAGGCATTCAAAGGCCTGAGGGATTCAATTCTTAGCGATAAGTTTGTAGCTGGAGCACGTAGTCATAGCACACGCCTTGAACTACGGCGCATCCAATTTGCTAATTCAGGTTAAACATTTTTGGAAATCCAAGATTATGCATTAGATTTGTTGGATAGCTTCGACACTAAGGCCGAGGGTACTACTACTAAACGTGTATAAGAGGTGTCAGTTAAAGATTGTCATGAAGGGGCAGACAGTACTCCCATGCACACTGATAGAAATGTAATCAATTATTTGGTATAACAACAAGCTGCATTAGAACAATTGGTAGGTAACAGCAAGGCAAACCCCGCCCTATCTTTGCAAGGTTTGTCAGACATGATGACAGGGTTCGGCTTCTATGCAATAAGAAGAAGCTTAAGGATACCAGAATCGATAAAGTGATGGTGGGGGAGCACCTGGCACCAGGCTGTGCGAGGCTTCTACGGGCTGTGAAAGAGGACAGCGATACCAACATTGCCTGGATCTCTGAAGGCAGAGATGGTTAATTCATTGCTTGATGCAGCATTTACTAAAGAGGAATTATGAAGTCATTCATTGCTCGGAAAGTCATGTAATGCGACTGAAAAGCCCTACACAAATGTTGAATTGAAAATTTTGGCAAATTTATTTTAATTTGGCATGTCCAGTCACTGACTGAGCCGAGTCAGTGGGTATTTTTAATTAAAAAAAAAAAATATATATATATAAATTAGGCCTACAGCCTACATGTGTAGCCACTCGCCATCTGTGACTAGGTGAGAAAAATTCTGCACAGGCAGAGGCGAAGGCTGAGCATGCTCCAAAGAAAGTGCTGCCAAGTGTGATGGACATGAGTGCTATACAAAAACACACTATTATTATTTGTAAAAGTTTTTGTATATTTCGAATTAAATACATGATGAACTTGTTTATGGTGTTTTGCAGGTAGGCCAACTTGTCAAAACTGCAGCATACAAAAGGCGCGTGATCACTCTGAGACAGCTGGGTGACGACACTCAATCTATACCAGTCACACTTTGGGGCGAGAGCACTACTCTAGAGGTAGTACAAGGAGTGTCTGTACTGGTGACGGCCGTCACCAGAGACGACAATGGACTACAGGGGTCGGTGTCTACCAAAATTGAGGTAATTTTGTTTGACTATAGTTTTCCCGCCCAATTTTATCAGAGTTGCATTCGAATTCATAAATAGGCATTTAAGTTTAAATGATATTCATCAACTCTCTGCTCTCATGGTTCTTTGAGCTTTCAATTTCGTCAAAACTGAATAAGTTTTCTATTTTATCTTGTATTGAGGTAATTATATTGACAAACTGGATAGATATCTGATAGAACTGGACACAAAGCCTGTGGAATCAAGTGGACAGACAAGAAAATCTATGTGAATTAAGGGAAAAATGGCTTTTCCGGTACCTGAACAGCCACCCAACGAAAAGACTGCGAATGGGACTGATGACAATATTAAGTACCGTACATGCGTCATTACACTGCTAGATATTATGTAGTCTAATTTCAATCTACTTGAAACAGATTTTTCTTCTACAAAACGAAATGTCAGGGAAATTGAATGTAGTCAAAAACATGCCATGAAACAAATTGAGGAAGTAAAGAGTAAAAAGGAAGAGGTCGAGAGACTTTGGCAAGATATGTCCAAGGAGGAGACATTTTCCCCACAAGGAACAGCTAACCCCATGCCAAGGACGGTCTACATATCATCAGGGCGCAAATTGGAGAGGTTCAGTGGACGTCCGGAGAAGATCAGTGATTTCATCACTTCAACAAGCGCAGGCCGTGGCTTTCTGTGCAGCTTCTTCATCTCTTTAGCTCAGCTCGGACACAGACGTCTGGAAACTTGTAAATATGGAAGTAGATTTAAGATGCAACAATTTTGTGTATTTTATGAGTGTTGTAGCTAAGCCAGTTTGATGGTTCAGAAGTTTTCTAAAGAGCTACATTGTGTTTGGTTAGGGTAATTTTCTTGACATGATCTTTTAATGGAATACATTAAGTGTGTAGCGACTGATGTTAAAGTGTCAATCAATTTTAATTCACTGTGTTTTTAATCCAAAATGGCTGCCACAGAAGTTGTAGGGAGTTTGAGGATTTTGGTATTATGCCATACCTTCGGATTTATTAACTAAATGACGTTTATTCATAAGTTTTTCGATTACATGATTAATTAAGATAGATGTGCGCGTGTTTTAACCAATCACGCTGCAGTCGTGATTGGGGCTTTTCTGATTTTTCCTGTGTGGGAATCAGTGGGCTTTTTAATATCGGTACACACAGGTTGTTATTGTGTAGTGTTTATTGTACCGTCAAATTTTATCCAACGAGGATTGAACGACTTTGTCCCTGGACCATTCCCGGTGGACTTGCTCACCGATTACGTTTTGTACTTTTGCAAGATATATTTTTGACTCTTGTGTTCTTCATTGACAACAATTTACATTCTCCGTGCAGTGAGAATAATACATTATGATCGTTTTTCTCACCTACATCATTGTTTGCTTATTATTATTTTTGCCTTCAGATAATCATTTTACTTGCCGATACACTTATTGAATTTGGTTTTGTGAACAGTGGACATGGCACGGCGTCATGACCAAAACAAATACCACCCAAGGCATGTGCGCCGTGGGCGCAGTCAGCATTAAGCTGCCCCCTTTTTGGAAGTGGGACCTGGAAGCGTGGTTTGCGCAGGCAGCCGCACAGAGGCATCACCAGACACTAGTTATAGCAACATTACCATTGGAGGTCGCGCTGGAAGTTTGCGACATGTTGATCAGTCCGCCCCCTACCAAGCCGTATACAGAGCTACGTGCTCTATTGATATCGCGAATGTCCTCCTCAGAACAGCGCCGCGTGCGAATGTTAGTGAACGAGGAGGAACTAGGCTTCTCAGACGAATGCAGCAGCTGCTTGGCATGCAGCAGCATGAGAAGGGAATTTTGCGCGAATTATTTTTGCAGCGCTTGCCCCAAAATATCAGGCTCATTCTTGCCTCGTCAAACGTTGTGCTTTTGCTCCCTGAGCTGGCTAATTTAGCTGATAAGATTTTGGATTATTCGCAGTAACTGTGTGCATGTTTGGTATAATGGATATTGTATTGTTTTATACTGAGAGTTCTGGTATGTAACTGGGATTTGGCTAGAATTACTGTTGGACTTGGGCGGGATGAAGTATATAATGTTTACTCCGCAAACCTCAGCATGAGACCGGAATTGCATGATACACAGGAGGTATATTTTGATATAGATTTATAATTAGAGATATTTCCTGTCCAGGCTTAGTGGTGAAATTCGATTTCTGAATTTCTGGTGGAGTTAACTGTGTGGAGCAACCGACCACTTTAAGAGGAACTGCCCCCAACTGCAAAACCATTTAAAGAGAGTGTTACTACGTCAGCAGGTTTAGAAGGGAAGGCATAAAATCCAAGACATATGGCAAGGAAGGCCATACCGCATCAGCGAAAGAAGGAACCCAACAGGGCATGTGTATGAAATTGAACCGGTTGATCGTTCTAGGAAACGCAAAACGAGAGACAGGGCACTAGCGGGAGGAAGGCAGATGGCAGAGCTCAGAAGTCCACGAACAGGGGGCGAGCGCTGTTAACAGCCCGAGCATGTCGTTAATCGTAGAAGCCTTACAGAGACAAGGTCAGCTGGTGACTACACTTTTAACCCAGCAGGAAGAACAGAATCGGACACTGAATATGCTGCTGGACCAACAGAGTGAAGTAAATGCAACAATCTGTGTAGAGCATCATTTTCCACTAAACAGGGACTCTGGGTACCTATTGTCACCTATCTGTGGTCCAGTTATCGCAGGACACCAGGCAGTGCAGCTAAGAACAGTGTGACTGATCAGTTAGCTTGAGAAAGTCCACAGGAGTGGACGAAAGCTTGCGCAACAAAATTCAAGGTTGGTAGAAGCTTCAACTACATTTCATCATTTTCCTACGTCACATTATTTATGAAAAAGGGTCCAGAGCTCTAGCAGGGCTATCAACTTGCTGTAATGATCAGGACCCTGTTTCATAAAACTTGATATCAATAACAAGTTACAAGCTACTGTTATAAGCTACTGAAATCATGGCATCTGATTGGTTGAGAGCAAATTTGTCATAGAAATTTAGCATTTGTTATAGATAACAAGTTTTATGAAAAGGGCCCCAGATATACTAAAACTATGCGGTCAATAAGTTAAGGTACACACATGTAATTGGTTATGACTAGTTATGACATCATTAATAGTTGGACTTCGCTACAATTCAATTTGAGCACATCTCAAGTCAATAAATATGTTTACTTGCATAATAATAGTAATTCTAATGTGCAAATTGTTGTCCTGAGAATTGCATCTTGTAGAATGCCGGTACAGAAAGAGATGGACCGGGCCCTGTTTCATGAAACTTGTTATCAATAACAACTGCCACAAATCTGTTTACAGCCAATCAAATGCAAGGATTTCAGTAGCTTATAACAATTATGGTAACTTGTCATTGATGAGAAGTTTTATGAAACAGGGTCCAGCCCCTCCTCCTGCCCCCTTCCAGGAAACAGATCAACAACCCTGTGGTGCAATCACATGAATCAATGAAAGAGGCTCTTCTGGGGCCTGTTTCATAAAACCTGATATCAATAACAAGTTACAAGCTGCTGTTATAAGCTACTGAAATCATGGCATCTGATTGGCTGAGAGCAAATTTGTCATTGAAATTTAGCAGTTGTTATAGATAAAAAGTTTAATGAAACAGGCCCCTGGTTCACCTCTGAACCCTGATATGGCAGTCGATGAATACAATTCAAAATAAACTCAGTATAAATGTAATATACATTCAAATTTTTATCTTGTACTACAGGTTGTATGCAGTACAGAGAAACATGTACATAAAGACTGCTCAAGGGAAACATGAAAGGTGGTCTTTATAGGCAGGTCAGATGGTCTTTATGTAGTGGTTGCTTGAGTTCAGGTTTCAATGGGAGACCATGTTCAAGGAAAACAAAAAAAATGGGGTCCTTATAGAAAGGTGGTTTTTACTATTCAGGTGGTTGCTTTAAACAGGTTCGACTGTATAATGTGATTGCTGGTGTCATCTGTAGTCCCATGCATTGGTGTTCAGTTGAGCAACTTTCTGATCTTTCAGCTGGTTGAGAGAATCCATAAAATGCGACCCTAAAAGAAAGTTTGAAAACGGGGAAAGACAAAATAGACAAAATTAACAAACAAATCATTCCTTTTCTTTTTTCACTATACTTTTTAGTGAATATTTGGTTGTAGATCTTATATTTGGACCGACCTTTGTATATATAAAATGGGTGTTTTTTTATAGAAAACCTAACTCTGTTATTGAGAATTTTTTTACAGTTTTGAAATGAAACACTCAGCACTTTATCGCATGGAAATGTTGTTACAGCTGCCGGTAGCCAAATGAACTCATTACAAATGTTGAATTGCCCTTTAAAATTACGGTTACTTACAGTGTTGACCTGAAGGAGGCCCTCTCTCGGGGACCTGTGGAGATAGAGGTGACAGAGGTAGACGCCCGACTGGTGACCTGCTCTTTCTCCTATGATGCCTGTATGAGTGAGACCTGGAACGCTGAGATGTGGTCACCTGTCAAACAAAAAGAAATAGTGAGATTTAGTTATTTACAGATATCTTAACAATAGATAATTCAATACAGATATAGGGACAATTATTTCTTTTTCTGATTCATATTCAATTTAAATGATTTCCTTTATCATCATTATTTAACTTCCGTTGCAAAAGAAGGCCTTTCTCTAAGCCATCCAGTCATTGGCATCCATTCTTTCTCCTTTCAAAAGATTAAACATGCACGTATATGTAGAGACAGGATAGACATCGTTTAAAGCACGGACCATTAAGACATAAATCACATTACAATGGAGATTTTTACATCTACAAGTATGAAGGAATGGAAAAAAACTGTTGCTAATTTGATGAAGAATAGTGATTAATTTAGAAAAGAAGTTAACTCTGAACTGCTATGGTTTAAAAAGCAGCAGTTTTAGTCCTGCGGCTTTTCCATTATAAACTGGCATATGACTGACTACATGTCACAGAGCATTATGATTAGAAAGAAAAAAAAGACGTACACATACCTCACTCTCTGATCCTGCTACTTCTTCGGACCTTCGTCCACTCCTCTCTCCATCGAGACCAGTAGTACCCCTCGCTCTTTCCTCGTGTTCTGTTAGAGTACCTCCTTCTTCCTGCAAGGGTGTCTTACGCTTGAGGATCCCCTTCGGACGACTGCTCCTATCTCCATGGTCACCCTTCCCTGCATTACTATCCTCACCACGAAGTGAGGGATGCCTTTGCAAGTCGCCATCTTGATTTCGAAGTTCATTTATTGAAAGAGCTCCCTCGTCCATCTGGTTGGCCCCACCTTGTCCTCTGTCACTAACATCCCCTGAAGCACCGTTTTCATGTCGCATTTCAAATTGTCTAGTCCTTGAGGTAATACGTCTTTCATACTGAACTTCCACATTTTGTTTGTAATTCAAGCCTGGATCCAAACCGCTATTCTCCACTCCTCGACTCTCGTCGCCTTCATTCTGGAGTGGAACTAGATCAATGTTCTGGTTGACGTTGTGTCTCTGTACGATGCTCTGGCTTACTCTCAGACTCCGGGTGTGGGAGGAACTGCTGCTGACTAGCTCCTCGAGGTGGTTCAGCTTGTGACGTAATGACTGGATAGTCGATTCTGACTTCTGTTTGATCCCGGCCAGAACCTCCGACTGACGAGACATCTGCTGCTCAAGTCTCAACTTGATGGATAAATGAAGGTAGACAATTTTTATATATAAATATGTTTCCAATTTGGCAAATTCTGTACCTATAAAATGGGACATTTTCACGATTCTTTCAAGTCTATTAGTCATAAAATTACTTTAGGACGATCCTTGAGAACCATGAAGGCGCCAAAGAAATCAACAAGCATCGCAAGGATTCAGAATGTGCAATCGTCGCCGCAACATGTAATGTACATTTTAAATTGAATTCCTTTGGTTACCCTTTATGGGCAACATATATATATATACATGCAGACATAAAATGAATGTTGTTACCTGAAAATTTATTAATCTTGAATATGATTAATTCCAGAAATAAACCATATGGATCAAATATGACACTAACCTTGAGTAAATCCTGCTCCTGCTGCAGCTGAAACTCCAAGTCAATATGCTTGCGTTTACTGTTCTCCTTTTGAGCGCTAATCTCTGTCATTTTAACCTGGAAAAAAGAAAAATAGGGTAAAGGAAGTGAGACAGAACAGGAAATCAGCTCAAAATCAATGTAGACTGCGTATGTCTCATGGGCCAACGTATACTTCATTGCAGAGATATTGTGCAATACTGTTTGAATAGTTCACATATTCCTGGGACAAGATCAAGCAATTTAATGACATACCATGTGATACATTTTTGTAAACTTCAGGCGTCATAGGCAAACCGTAAAATCAACCCTAGCCCGACCTTCTTTATTCTGGACTTTACTACATTAAGTGTCTTTTTTAAAATAAATTATGTACATCGAAAAAAACCCAAATATTTGCAATTCCTCAAACTCCTCGTGGCAAACAATGGCTATCACTGACAATTCTTAGAAGATTCTAGTGCAGATTGAGTAGTGTCCTCTATTACCTGCTTGAAGGATGTCAATTTCTTGCTGATCTCAGCCTTCTGGTGGTGGACCTCCTGGAGCTCATCGAGGACCTCCAAGCGAGACATCTCCAGGGTGCGCAAGCCCTCGTTGACCTCCGTGTGGATCTCCTCCTTCAGATGCTGGAGCTGGGAGTCAAGCTTGTTCTCCTGGTCCATTAGCTCCTCATGGGTATGGAGCTGGAGAAAGGTAAAAACAGAAAAAGGGTTAAAACTCTTGGAATTACAGGGAGGCTTGAATATAGAGGCATCTCCATGGTGCGTAAGCCCTCAATGAACCCCGGTCTGGATCTCCTCCTTCAGATGCTGGAGCTGGGAGTCAAGCTTGTTCTCCTTGTCCATTAGCTCCTCATGGATACGGAGCTGGAGAAAGGTCAAGGGTAAAAACATTTTAAGTGGGATAAATAATGGGAATAACAGAGACTTGCATGTGGAGGCATCCCAAAGTTGCCTTGGGCATTTGACTGTCAAGTGGATTTGGCGCCTTATACATCTTATGTATAATTATTATTATAGTTCCTTGTTGACCTCTTGTTGATCTATTCCTTTAGATGCTGGAGCTGGGAGTCAAGCTTGTTCTCCTGGTCCATTAGCTCCTCATGGGTGTGGAGCTGGAGAAAGGTTAAACCAGAAAAAGGGTTAAAAGTCTGGGAAAACAGGGGGACTTGAGTATATGGGAGCATCTCTGAGGAGAGGAACCCCTTGTTCACCTCTTTATGGAACTCCTCCTACAGTTGATGGAGCTGGGACTCAAGCTTTTCTCCTGATCCATTAGCTCCTCATTGATGTGTAGCTGAAGAAAGATGGTAGTAAAAGTGGTCATTAATTTCAGAAAATGATCTTTATGGACAGGTCGTTCTAGTACAGGTATCAGTCAGATACACTTTAAATGAAACAACATTTACAGCTATTGACTACTTTGAGGATAAAGGGTGAGGATTCATGTTATTTAATACAGAGTTAACAAATTTCGAGGTCAGAACATAAATTATAGTTTTTACAATACCAGTTTCTTATATAGTGCTTAACCATTAACTGACCAAAGTGCTTGCAGTATTATTTACTCCCTGGGGAGCATTCCAGCTAGTCTCCTTTCTACAGGTACAAACATACTAATTCAACCACAATGACGATGGCATCTGACCGGGTACCCGATTAACACTTTGGTGGAGAGAAGCAATGTAGATAAAAATGCCTTGCTCAAAGACATAAGTGCAGTGCTGGAGCTCGAACCCACGACCTTTGCATTTCAAGTCAAGTAATTACAACATTCAACTATGACACCTCTACAGAGAGGTGGTCTTTCTATACAGGTGATTGTTATAGCAGGTTTGACTGTTACCTGTTGCTTGGTGATGAGGTATTCTTGTTTCCAATTCTCCACCTCTTTGCTCATCCTGCTGGCATGCTTAGACTCCTCCTCCAGCCTCACCTTCAGAGTTTCAATCTCCTGAGTCAGCTTCCTGTGCTCGGCTCTAAAATCCTGTGGGAAAAAAAAAATTGTAAGCTACAACTCAACACTGGCTTTTTGGGAACTAGAGGAAGAACTTAAGCACAATGTCATTCATTCAAATGAACAAAGGTTGAATAAATGTTTTCCAATGTTTATCACAGGTGGAATAAATGCCATTCGCTTTACTAGACTATGTTTCAGACTCTTTAATGATAATCTATTAAAAGAGATAAAGTTTTATTTACGAAATAAACATTTCACTGTCAGCTTGTTGAATGTTGAGGAATACTGACCAATGAATTGCGGTCACAGTGAAGTGCATGAGTAATCAATAGTGCAATATTAAAAAAGTGACACAAGCAAAAAAATGTCTGGTCATTACCTTTCGAGCACTGCTCCATTTCGTTCTTAACTGTTCATTTTCTTGATCTGACTGGTTCTTCTCTCTCTCGATTGCCTTCTTCTCCTGTATCACCATACAAAAACAACAACAAAAACAAAGGGATGACTTTGGGAACATGACTAATTTGTTGATCTTGCCACTGAAAGCAAATATTATTAACACTGCAGTAGGGGGTTGTTCGCAAATGGTTAAGGCATTGTCGTTTAAAATTGAGGACCTGTGTGTGTGTTTAAATACTGAAGATGCTTTTTCAAATTCTGCCGTCTTTCTAGATTAAAGCTTATGTAAAGTTTAAATGGAAATTGGAAAAAAATGTGTGAAGTATACTCTCATGTTGTTCTTGTATCGAAAAAGATATATCTAGAGCTCATTGGATTAAGTATTTTTGTTGTTGCAAAAACAACCATTTTCCAAAAACCATCTTACCTCTTGAAGTGAGGCTACTCTCATTCTTGCTGCTTCAAGTTCATCCTTTGACTTCTCTCCTTTCTCTTGTTGATCTGAAATTTCATTTTCTGACAAATTTAAGAGATAAAAAGCACAATAGAATGGATTATAATTGTAATCTCTTCCTGAGCATGAAATGGAGAGTTTCTTTTTGCAAGTATATATATTCCTTTGTTTACAAAAGATAACAAATTGCAGCTACATGTAACAAATAATCTAAACATCCGAACAGTTTCATTTGTTAACCCAAAATTAACTTCTGATATTGCAACTAAATGTAACACAGATTAAAAAAAAATTCTACAGGACACATGCTCTGGCAACAATTGCTATGATTTATCACATTAACTGAATTATAACTGAAACCCTAAACCACAAACAATACCCAACCCTAATCCTAAACTGTTTCTAAACCTAACCTTTAACTAACCCTAACTAACCTGTCCTTAACCATATTCCATTACCTACTTTAATCAAATTCATAACTTAAACCATACCTGCCAACATTTGAAAATTAGAATTAGGAATTTTTAGCACGGTATGCCTTCAAAAATATCAAAGAAAGCGCACTTGCAGTGGCAGTGTAACTGGCAATACGCGGTAAATCTGTACCAAAAAGCAAATACAAATTCGCTGCTTGATCATGCAGCCATTCAACGCATGCAATACTTGAACTCTCAAATTGTGGCACATGATAAAACAAGCTTAATTTGTCTAAAGCACAAAAAGCACAACAAATATTTGAAATTTTGAAAAATCAGAATATTCCGGATTTTCAGGTCCTAGAAAATCAGAAAATCAGAATATTCTGGATTATTCGTAAGGGTTGGCAGATATGACTTAAACCCTTAACCACACACGATACCAAACCCTAATCCTAATACAGCCCTAACCTGCCCCTAACTATAAATCTAACCCTAAACCACACACAATATCTAACCCCAATCCTTCCCTAAACCTAACCCTAAATTATTTAATCCTAACCCTGCCATAACCCTACTCTAACCCTAAACCCCTGTTGCAACTATAACCCCAGCCCTGTATCTTGAATGAAATAACAAAACTGACTAATTAAAGGAGTAATTGTAACTGGAGCAAAATGTTAGTTCACCTCCTGTCAGTCTATACATGTACCTACCAAGATCTTGAATCCTATTCTTCAGATCATCATACTGAACGAGATCTTCTTGATTCTGATGTAATCTTGACTGGATGGAGTCTTTCTGCTGAGTCAGCGTCTCTAGCTCTCTCTGTCGGTTCTCGAGCTGAGCTCTCACCGTCTCCTGATCTCTAGAAGTCTGCCTGGAAACCTGGAAAGACCGTCGAGTAAAATGTAAAAGGTTAGGACATAATTGAGAAATAATTTTTGTAACTCCAGACTCTCAACTCCAGATCTTGAGTCTTATTCTTCAGTTCATCATACTGAATGACACCTTCTTGATTCTGATGTAATCTAGATGGGATGGAGTCTTTCTGATATATTTTTCAAACACCCTCAGGTCGAGATCCATGTCACATACTGAGCTGAGCTCTTGCCACCGCACGCCATCTTACGATTTCTAGCTGTCTGCATTGAAATATGTACATGTAAGGCCACTGAAATAAAGTATAGTTGTGACATGTGTAGAGATTGTCAGGAATATTTCAGATTTTCAGATTACAATTTAAAAGCAAAAACACACCTTAGGACCTGACTATAAAGACTAGATTGGGGGAAATATTAGGTAAGTTGATAAAAATCTAGATTCTTTCTTATTGAGGTCCTGGATAGTCAAGTGAATAGTCATATAGACAAGTTATTAGGTGTTGTGACACAATGCCTACTGGTAATCAGTTGTGAATCGCAGTAATGTCATGCCAGTCACAAGTCTATCCATAGTGGGTCTTTTTTCTTTCTGCTAGGCATAAAGCGTCCATCAGTTTTTACTATCATTATTCTTTTTTTTTCTGTAGAAATACCATGTTGTTGGTGTATCTTCGTACTTTATATTCATACATTCCATTATTTGACTGTCTGTAAAGGCCAATAAACACAGGTCTAGGGAGGCATCTGTGCATAACAACCTGTCTTGAAGGCCACTTGTCTATACTGGCCACTTTTGAAGTATACCGTGGGTGGCCTTTACATACAGGTTGGCCATAATTCAGTTAATAAAATCAGGTCACCTTTGAAAGTCTGTCCTCCTCCAGTGCGACCCTCTCGGCCACCTTCTCCAGATCTCTCTGACGTCCCTCAAACTCTCTTCTCTTCTCCTCCAGCTCCCTTCCCATCATGCCCAGGGCTTCCTGTTTGGTTCTCTCCTGCTGTTCGCACGATTCCAGGGTCCGACGATGCTGGTCCAGGACCTCAGAGAGCTGGTCTAACTGAGAAGACAGCTGGACCTTCTGCCTCACAAGTTCCTGTATCTCCTGGTATAAGAAAATTACGAATAACCTGTTGTTTATAATTTGATTTTGGAAGAAGACACAGTTTCAATACCTTACAAGACCTGTTATCTCAGGCTTAGCATTCAAAGATGATATTGAAATGTAAGGATGAGGTCTAGATAGATATAAATGCATTTAAAGATGAAAGAGGCTCAATTTGCCATTGTCTGAATGTAAAATTCTTTATGTATGATATTTCCACTTTGCAGTGCTAATACAAGCTTCAAATCAGTTCAAGGAATTTTTGTAACATCCCTTTATAAGTACAAGTATTTTTATTAGATAATTGAATCATTTGGTAACATCACTTTTTACAATGCTTCAATTGATAAGACCCTGGGACCTGGGTCCCTTTGCATAAAACTTAGCATTGATGGTAACTGTGTCATTGATGGTAATTTCCATGGAAACCCTGATTTGATTGGCTGTTGAGTGATGTTGCCATGGTAGTTAATATTGATGGCAAAGTTACCATTAGTGGTGAGTTTTATGCAAGGTGTCCAAGGTCTTGTTCTATGGGTACCTCGCTTTGTTCATCTCCATTTAGGGGGAACCCTTTCAGATAGCCATACTCCAAATTGACTGTGACTTTATATGGAGTGACATTATCGTGAAAAAAGTGTAAATTAGGTTTTTACAGACGTTTACCAATCAGATATGAGTATTATCGCCTTGGGATAGACCTTTAACATCACCATCAGAAACACATAACTCAGTCTTGAAGCAGAGTCCGCCTGAGTCAGTTTGTAGTTGAACACAGGGATTTGACCATACCAAGGACATTACTGCTAGGCCAACCCACAATAATGTACAAACACACCTCTTGTAACCGTCCCTGCTGACTGCCTGCCCCTTGTAGGTCTGAGTTTGTATGCTTCAGGTTAGACTTGGCCTCTGATATGAAAAGAAAAAAGAAAGAGAATAAGATAAAACCAAGAGCTCAACAAGCAACATCTGGATGCTTTAAAGCCCATCTGCACTAGTTTGGCCAGGAGGGATTAGACCTCCCTGCATGGTCACTGACAGGTGGTTATCTCATCAAATCAGCTCTCAATTAACATAAGAAAAGAGGGATTATGGGGGACCAACAGGCACTGATTAGGCATTGTTTGCTATATAGAGGGCGCAAGGAGCTATAAGTAGTGCAGTGGACCTTTAATAGCTATATCTTCAGCACATTCTTTTATATACATGTAGCAGGAAAGTACTCCCAAATTCTTGAATATCACATCAGGCATGCATTTGTATATTTGTTGAAATGCATAATTAAAACAATCAAATACATCAAGACATCTAGCATAGTTTGAACAAAAACAAAAAAACAACAACAACAATCCGACAAATATGAATATGAAAACATAATGAGAGAGTTCCAATATTCTTTTGAAAATAAAGCTTACAGATTTGAATGTATATAAATACAATCCTATTATAATAAATAGATCCCAACCTTTCATGTGCTGTTTAAGGTTCTGTAGCTCCCTCATTGCTTCAGACTTTCTTCTCTTGGTGTCCTCCAGGTCTGTTTCCATGGCAACTAGGTCTTGTTGGATGCCTTCCAGTTTGTGTTGATTGAGATGCAGAGATTCTAGAGTGCTTCCATGAGTTCTGAAACATTGAAACAACATTATATTTTAGAGGAAATGTTTAGGAAAAGTAGTGTCTACAAAGACAAACACGGATTTCGTCAACCTAACATTCAAAATGTAAACACACTATTATTAATTATTACATTATTGTAGTTCAGATACTACTTGTAGTATACAGACAAAATAGGTGCAATTAAATATACATGTAGATGTATAGATTTTGCATTCAGTATTTAAGCCCTATTGAAACTATCACCTTCATGAATTGCAATAAATGTGTTCATATGGACTGTTGCAAGCTCAAGAACTAAAATGAGATGGAGGCATTATTTTCATCCATTTCCATAATTTCTTTTCTTCAACATAAAGAACAATAAATAAGTGCTCATACAGGTTGTAAATCTAATAACCTGACACACAGAGAAGTTGATTTCAACTAAACTCTTACATGAAACTTTCGCAAAATTTGTAAATGGTCCACAATCGCAAAAGTTTCTTCCCACAAAATACTTAAAGTGGAACATTTAACGTTTAAAATTCACAAACTTTCATGCCGAACACACTATGAACATGACAGACAAAGAAAGCGGACAAAATATACAGTTCCTCAGGTAGACAAAGGAACATCCCTTCACTGCTATTATGTAAAAAGGTGAATATGCATGTGACACCTGTTCTACACATTTTTAGATAATAGCAGTGAAGGGATGTTCCTTTGTCTACCTGAGGAACTGTATATTTTGTCCGCTTTCTTTGTCAGTCATATTCATAGTGACATGTCTTTGTACAAGTAATTTCTGAGCTACTAACGTTTTGAGATGGCTGAGTTTAACTTCCAGTGAGTTGCATCCCTGTTTAAGAGCACTCTCCTCCTGCGTGAGACCTTCAATGCTCTCCTCCAGGGAACGCTTCTCGGAGAGGATGCGCTCTCGCTCCTCCTTGGCTCGTCTCGTTTCCTCCCTCATCAGCTCTGCGCCGGTCCGGTTCCTCTGGCTGTCCTCCTTCAGCTTCTCCAGGGATGCTTTCTCCTGGAACGCATTAGGAAAAAAATGATAGAGTCACAAAAAATTCATACTTCTGTGTACTGTTTGTTAGAGCAGCAGCAGAAAAAACAATTGGTCTTGTAGTTGGCATAGAAATCCTTAACACTTTCCTTCCATATTTAGGATAAATATTACATGCAGTAATAGGTTTGGCTACATTTAATTATTAATTTTTCATTTAATTTCAGGAAAGTTTTAGGGTCAGGATAAGGATCACAGTTGGGGATATCCCGATACTGTACTGACCTGGAGAGCCACAAGCTGCGTCTTCTCCAGCTCTGCCATCTTAGCTTCATGCTGCATCCTCAGCGCCTCCAGCTCCGTCTTCTCAATGTGCACCATCTCCAGGGTGTGCTTCAGCTCTGCCTGCTGCTTCTCGATGGCTGATTGGACATCATGATGGGCGCCCTCTGCCTCAGCGAGCCTGGTCTGGAGGCGAGAGAGCTCCTCCCGCCGTTGATCCACAGCCTGGCTGGTCTCCTGTCGCTGCTGTCTCAACCGCTCTAGACTGTTCTTGGTGTCCTACATGCAGAACAGTACACAATTTTTAATGCGTGGGCGCACAGTCGTTAAAGTTTCCAAAGACCTGGGGGGTGTTTGAACTTAACTCTAAGTTAGACTTAACAATTATGGAAAGCCGTTAGCATCTATGAAAATATTTTGTAAAAGTTATTTCATTTAATCAAATGTTGATTCAAATCATTCATATTTTCTATTATCAAGGAGATTTCATGTTCTTGATGAGGAATTTATAAAAAGTCTAAAATACTTAAATTTTCGCATTTGAATATAATTTATTTCAAGACTACAAATAGCTCTCCATAATTTTTAAGTCCAACTTAAAGTTAAGTTCAACTAAAGATCTTTGTGAAACATCCCCCTGTTCCATGTTTAAATTGTCTGTTGAAAACCAGGTTTTTAACTCTGTGTTAACATCTATTTGGCTCTGAACATACATTATTTTTTTGTACAAGACAATATGTCAATGTTTATTATAACTACAAAAGGCAACTTATATATCTGGTTGACTATGTTTACATGAGATTTGGAAGGGTAGGTAAAAATTGTCTAGAAAGGGAAATATGGAAGACACACTATGAATTTTTGGACCCTGCAACAAAGAACTCATCTTTATTGAATCTTTATTACCACACCTGGTAATGCCTCACTTTACAAAATTAATACGCACAGAAAAGACTACATGTAATTCACATTATGTTGAATAGAAAAGAAGTAACATAGTGCACAGTAAAAAATATCTGCAATAAAAATCTATTTGAATGATAGCAGGTGCTCTTTACTTTGATCTTTTGTTGAGTTGCAGATATCTCACTCTCCCCTTCTTGTAGCGCTGAAACAAGCTGCTGTCGATGCTTGTCGGTTTCAGAGGTCAAAGTTCGAAGGTCGGTTTGCTTGGCCCCTATCTCCCTGTTGACCTTCTCCAGGGCACGTTGCTGATCATCAAGCTGGAAGATTATAAAAGTGAAAATTTTGGCGTTCTGATTTCTTTTTCTTTTAAAGGTATAGACCAGTTTTGGAAACACCCCCCTCTCAAAAAATGAAATGGAAGCTCTTATTATCAATCATGTGAAAGAATATGTTATGACTAATATGTGATGACACAAATTTTGCCGGGAAACAGCCTACTAATTTATATATTTGGTAAATACCGGATAGATATTGCGTAGTCCCATATTCATCTTTCTGTGTACACTGCTTGTAACTTTACCACGACTGGGACAAATTTCTTATCATTTTGATGATTCCACAACGTTTCTTTCACAATGCAATCGCATGAACAGAACTGGTCTATACCTTTAATAACATACATGTACAGGGCTAACAAATAACCAAAAGTCAGATACAGCCAATAGTATCATGGGTATGTCTTGTACATGTATGTCTTTTCATACAAAGTGAGACAACATTTTCCACACATGTACATGCAAGCTACATGACTATGATGGCGAGTCACATAATTGATTTCTGCTAAATACATATATGCATACAATTTTGTTTCTCCTATTACACAAAAGAAGGTAGCAGGGATTTTTCTTTCTTTCAATGTGCAATATTTTACCTTCATGTAAGGGTGATAATCACAACAGAAAGTGACATGAAATAGACATAACACATCATACCTGATCCTGTAGTCTATCTAGCTCACTCTGCCTGTTAGAATGCTCTCTTTCTCCATCTCTCAATGACGACTGGAGCTCTGAGAGCTTCTGCTCGGCCATGATCACCTCAGACTTCAGCCTCTCGAGCCTGCATCAATCAGAAGAGATACAATCATCTTAGGGTAGATGAACACTTTACTTTCTTACTTCAATACATCTTGTAATTCCCATGCTGATTGCTAGAGTATTATCATTATTATTCAATTAAACATCTGAATTTATTAGTTGCTCATTCTGCTGCTGATCTTGGCAGTAGCCTACATCCCAAGATCAAAGAAACTAGATGGAATTTTGACTGCGCGCAGTCGAAAATGATGCCTCCGCCATAGAGCAATTTAAACAAGTTTGGAGTTTAAATCTCCAGTGGTTCTTGAGATATCATGATAACAATCTCAATGTATGGAATTTCATAAGTTGACCTCTGTGACCCTTGACCTTTGACCTACGTGCTCCAAAATCTAATCAGATTGTCTTCCTATGGTGATACACACTATCATTAAGTTTGAAGTTTAAATCTCCAGTGGTTCTTGAGATATTATGATATGGTGATACATACTATCATTAAGTTTGAAGTGAAAATTCTCCAGTGGTTCTTGAGATATCGCGATAACGATCTCAATGTATGGAATTTCATAAGTTGACCTCTGTGACCCTTGACCTTTGACCTACGTGCTCCAAAATCTAATCAGATTGTCTTCCTATGGTGATACACATTATCATTAAGTTTGAAGTTTAAATCTCCAGTGGTTCTTGAGATATTATGATAACAATCTCAATGTATGGAATTTCATAAGTTGACCTCTGTGACCCTTGACCTTTGACCTACGTGCTCCAAAATCTACTCAGATCGTCTTCCTATGGTGATACATACTATCCTTAAGTTTGAAGTTTTTACATCTCCAGTGGTTCTTGTGATATCATGATAACAATCTCAATGTATGGAATTTCATAAGTTGACCTCTATGACCCTTGACCTTTGACCTACGTGCTCCAAAATCTAATCAGATTGTTTTCCTATAGTGATACACACTATCACTAAGTTTGAAGTTTAAATCTCCAGTGGTTCTTGAGATATCATGATAACAATCTCAATGTATGGAATTTCATAAGTTGACCTCTGTGACCCTTGACCTTTGACATACATGCTCCAAAATCTAATCAGATCGTCTTCCTATGGTGATACATACTATCCTTAAGTTTGAAGTTTAAATCTCAAATGGTTCTTGAGATATCGCGCTAACAAACTCAATACAAGGAATTTCATAAGTTGACCTCTGTGACCTGTGACCTTTGACCTACGTACTCCAAAATCTAATCAGATCGTCTTCCTATGGTGATAAATACTATTCCCGAGTCTGAAGTTTAAATCTTAAATGGTTCTTGAGATATTGTGATAACGGTCAAACGGGACGGACGTACGGACGTACGGACGTACGGACGTACGGACGGACAACCCGAAAACATGATGCCTCCGGCACCACCTTCGGTGGCGGAGGCATAAAAATATTTGTAAATGTGTAGGAGAAATTAATATGTATTTAATATTTTTTTAATTATCTTACCGTACCTCTTATCCATTTTTTGTCTTCCTTTCTCAAATACTTGAAAATTAAAAATTATTATGAGACATTAATCTCAATCCATAATTTAAAATTGAGTTACACTCATATCTCATATCATATATTGTAATATAGTACCACACTTTTCTGGTGATAACTTTAATAATCATGCTTTCATGAAATTGCTCTTCATCAAAAAGTATCCCTCCTTCCATTAATGACTTTCTCAAATATTGTCTCTTCTAATGCTCTACATGTACCACTCTGTGACTTGTCACAGAATAGATTGCATTCCAATCACACCACTGATCAGTCATACGCTTTTGATTCATTTATCTATATACAGTGAAACCTGTCTAGAAAGACTGTTCAAGGGAGACAAGAAAAGTGATCTTAAAAGGCAGGTGGTCTTTGTGTACAGGTTTCTGTCATACAAGTATCAAAGACAAAGTCTATTCAAGGGAAATAAAAAATGTGGCCTTTTTTATAGACAGGTGGTCTTTCTATACAGGTGGTCGCTAAAAGCGTAAAAGATCGATTTTAAGTTGGACTTAAAGGGAAAGTCCACCCCCAAAATAAGTTTGTTTCGATAGAGGCAGAATAATAAGAAAATCAGGTGAGTGAAAGTTTGAGCAAATTCTGAATGAAAATAAGAAAGTTATGAATTATTGAAGTTGTGATCAATCAAATACAAATTGGCAACTCTGTGACTTATTATACGAGCTCTCCTTCATTTGCTTTGTGCATAATATAAGTTTGTTTCGATAGAGGCAGAATAATAAGAAAATCAGGTGAGTGAAAGTTTGAGCAAATTCTGAATGAAAATAAGAAAGTTATGAATTATTGAAGTTGTGATCAATCAAATACAAATTGGCAACTCTGTGACTTATTATACGAGCTCTCCTTCATTTGCTTTGTGCATAATATTCCATAAAATCATGTTTTCTTTGTTATTGATGACGGAATATACATTTGTTCCTTGCAGGGGGAGTATAGAAACATATTTGCAATTATTATATTTAGGGTGCATGTATGGTTGAAATTTTTCTTGAGGGAAAATGAAAATTTTAGATTTTTTTAGTACTGAGCAAATGGAAGTTGAGCTCGCATGATACGTCATAGAGTTGCCAATTTGTGTTTGATTGATCACAACTTCAAAAATCCTAACTTCCTTATTTTTAATCGGAATTTGCTCAAACTTTCACTGACTTGTTTCTCTCATTTTTCTACTCCTATTAAAACTAACTTAATTTCAGGGTGGACTTCCCCTTTAACTATGGCAGGCCGTTCATGCCACTGTTTGCTCTTACCATTAAGATCTTTAGCCAGTGTTTTTTCCTTCAATAATAAATTATCAAAAAATGTCAATTCTGTAGATTTGTACGTCCCTTGAGAGACCAGTAAAGGGTGAGAGCAAACAGTGGCATGAATGGCCTGCCATAGTTGAGTCTAACTTAAAATCGATCTTAGTCTTTGTGAAAAACCCCCCAGGTTTCACCGTATAAACAATATACCTTTTACTGCTCTGGTCTCTCTTAGCTTCCACTGCTCTCATCTCCATCTCCCTGCCGTTGAGCAGGGTCTCCATCTCACCCGCATCCCTCTCACAGGTCCTCCTCTTCTCCTCCATCTCCTCCACCTCTTTCTCCAGGACCAGGAGCCTTTCTTGGGCCTGGACCAGGGTCACGGCGACCTCGTGTGACCTCCGCTCCAGCTCCTCGCTCTCCTCTCGGGTCATGGCGAGGTCGTGAGTTGCTTTGTCGTAATGTCTGAGTGTTTCACTTGCCTAAAGAAAAAAAAAATTAACCAAAAAGGTTAGTGACTTCCTTGTATCCCTCAAAGGAGACCGATTACGCACACAAATGGCAGATAGTTAGGGACATAAAATTATCCCTTGAACTGCCCAAATTTTGTCTCATCATCGGTGGGGTGACAAAACCTCGTATCTCAAAAATCATGAATTTTCAGGAGAGCGTAAAAACCTTTCCTGTCTCAACAGATTTAGTGCTGTGACAACGTCCTTTGTGTGGAATTTGTGAAAAAAACGAGAAAGGAGGCGTTCCATGGATTTATCAGGTGGTGTAGTAGGCCATTAGGTACAAAATTATGCAAAAAAATCAAAATCTCAAAAAATTGAGATACAAGGTTTTGTCACCCCACCGACGTCATGTTCTTGGACCAAGAAAACAGGGTAAAAAATCTTGTGAAGTTTGATATCATCGAACACGATATAAATCAATAAGAACAATGGTAAATGAAACAGTATCTAAAACTTATCTCACAGAATCTTACAATATAGTTGTTTTATGTTTGTAAACTTGGTAGCACTGCAACAGTTTATAGTCCAGCGGATACCCGTCTTGAGTTGACCCTCTCTGCTCAATGAGGATGGAATTGCTACAGAACTTTGGGGATGAAATGAAGCTTTACAAAATAACAAACTGATACAAACTTCACAAAACCAAACTGAACAAGCTTAAAGGGATCGTTTAACAATGTTAAATCTGAGATGCACGGCCCTACGTGTTATCAGTGTCTGTGATATGGTGTTATATTGAAGCCCTGAAAAAATTGCGCTTCAAAAGATCATACTCGTTTCCCCCAATAGACTGTAGTGTTATGAAAACTGTTTGGCTCTCAATCATAAATATCTTGATAATCAGATAGGCAATCGGCTTGTAAAAAATCATGGGGTTCCTGACTGACCTAAAAGTTTTTTATTATCATTGCAGCATGAGCTAAATCAAGGATTTTTTTAAAGGATCTAAGACAAAGTTACCGGATCCCTTTAAAGATTGATGGACAAACTCACCTTATTCTGAGCTTCATGTAAATCAGTCTGACACTGCAGCAGTAACTGATCGGCTTCCCTCAGCTCTGCTCTCCTCTTTGCTATGGTGTCCTCCAGGCACTCAATCTCGTCTTCAAGGAACGCACTCTGCTGCATGCGCTGGTGGTCGTCCACCCTATCATAGTCCTCATAGTCCTCTGCTCTTGGTTCAAACTGGCGACGGTGCTCCAAGAATTCCCTGGAAGAAAATGTCATTGACGTGAGACTTTATCCACAAATCCAATATCTCACTATTACATGAAATGTATATATTATTTGGAAGCCATGCATAATACACATATACTTCATACCCAGCTAAAAAAACAACATAAATGTAGCCTTTCGTGAAGACCACATTAGGTCAAATGTGGTATAGTGGCCACATCCATATAAAAACCTACTGCTTATAGTGGGAAATGTATACTGTCTATTTCTAAAAATAAATAAATATTACAGAACCTAACAAGAGAACCTCCTTCAGGCAAATCCATCTATCAGGGTCACCCAAGGTCACAGAAAAAGTGTTCACGGTAGACAGGTGGCTTTTTTAGACAGGTTCTATAACAATATAGAGCAACGTCGATCTGGCGCTGCTCAGTGGCTGCCGGGCTCACGATCAATTGGGCAAAAAGAATTTCTGTTTCGGTTTAATAAAATTTGGAGTGGACTATTAGGCTATTATTATTATTATTATTATTATTATTATTATTACATTTCTTCCTCGAGGGAGACAAAAGATATGGCCACTACAGAGAGGTAGCCACTAAGGCAGGTTTGACTGTATCTATCATTTGTGAAGCCTTAAAGAGACTGTGAATTAAAAACCTTCTAGATCTTCTTTCATCCACATTCCTGCCTAAGTCCTTCAGTTCCCTCCGCTTGGCCTCCGTCTGGTATTTCAGATCTTCATCGTCGTCTCTCAATCTGTTCAGGGCGCCCTGTTGCCTGGATACAGCCAGGTCCAGCGCATCCAGCTCTTCACGCTTGTCCTGAAGATAGATAAACAGGGGGGTGTTTCACAAAGATCCTAAGTTCAACTTAATGCTAGGACTTAAAGGACTTAAAAATTATGGAGGGCCATGTGTAGGCTCTAAACAAAATATATTCAAAAGTGAAACTTCAAGTATTTTAGACTTTTTATAAATTCCACATCAACAACATGAAATTTCCTTGATAATGAATCCAAATTTTATGCCTTTTAAAATAACTTATACAAAATATTTTCATAGATGCTAATGGCTTTCCAAAATGGTTAAGTCCAACTTGGAGATAAGTTCAACTTAGGATCTGTGTGAAACACTCCACAGGAGGAGAAGGGTGGGTATGGACTGATGGTTACAAAAAAGGTGGGCAGGTAGGGGGGAAAGACAAAGGGATGGATATCGTGAGGGGTGAAAGTTTAACAATGACAAAATGTCATGGCTACATCTGTAAAATGGCACTTGGCTGGAATACTCCCCAGAGAGTGGAGAATGTGCATATATTGTGTGTGGGCAAGCCTGAATCCGATGACCGGGGTAATAATATATCTGTATAGCGCTTAGAGACATCATAGATGTTTCAAGCGCTATATAAACGTGGAATACTATTATTACACGCATACATGAAGAAAATTCACAGCAGAAAACAAGGAATCGCTCAATGTGATATCATAACTACATGTATTTCATACATGATCTATACAGAACTCTTTATTAGTTTGAAGGCCACCCACCAATATGAATAATTCCTTTAAAATAGGAATGACCGTCAGATATGCACATGGTATACTCATCAATAGGCCATTTTCATTATGTAATAACATTTATACATATATATGCCTTTGTGAAACGCCTCAATACGAATGATTTCATTCATCTGTTACAAATAACTGTATAAATAATAATAATAATAATATGATTATTTATATAGCGCCGGTATCCGTCAGGCTCTGACGCTCGTGGCGCTTTACACATATGACCCTGGTCGTAGCCAAAGAAATTAGCGCTCAAGCATATCAGGTACCCATTTACACCTAGGTGGCGAGTGGCAAATAGTCAGAATGCAAATGGCATACATTAGTTGTTGCTAGGTACGACAAACATTTGGCTTGCCCTACCTAGCAACACGTAATAAATGCACTATGCATTCTGACTGTTGAAAAACAATTATTCATATCAAGTGGGAAAGTGACAAAATATCAAGTCGAAGGTGGGTGTTTTAACTCACCATTAGTTCATGCCTCAATCTAGACATTCTTCCTGATGTATTAGGTGAACTTTGTCTTTCTGTCCGCTGTACATCAATATCATAGAAAAAAAAACATTTGAATAAATATTGTTCAATGTTTCTGACCGAAGCTGAAATAGAAACAATACCCCAAAAGTCAAACTAATATTTTGGTAAGGTAAAAGAAAAGGAAAAAAACTAGATGCAACTCCGTCATAGGGCAATTTTACAAACCAAAACAGAAGAAATTTTTCAAATTCAAGTTCTATTGTAATCCATTAACAGGTTCTCAGAATATCGTGATTACAAGCAATTTCTCATATACATATATGACCCTTTGATCTTTGACCTCATGACCCTAATATCTACTCAGTTCATTGGCTCTGCAAGATGTCCTGAGTTAAATAGTAATCCATCTGTCAGTTCTAATGAGAATGCGTTCCCAAGCTATTTTTGCATACATAATGAGCCCATGACCTTTGACCTTATGAACCAAGAATATACTCAGTTCATTGGCTCTGCAAGATACATAAATGATCTAAGTTGGCAGGAATCCATCAATCTGTTCTAATGATAATACGATCACAAGCTATTTTTGCATACATAATGAGCCGCATGACCTTTGCCCTTGACCTCATGACCCCAAAATCTAATCAGTTCATCGGCTCTGCAAGTAACATACACATGACCTAAGTTTGGCAGGAATCCATCAATCGGTTCTTGAGATAACGCGATCACGAGCTGTTTTTGCACACATAATGAGCCCTGTGACCTTTGACCTCGTGACCCCAAAATCTAAAATCTAATCAGTTCATTGGCTCTGCAAGATACATACATGACCTAAGTTTGGCAGGAATCCATCAATCGGTTCTTCAGATAACGCGATCACGACGTACGGATGGACGGACGGACAACCCAAAAACATAATGCCTCCGGCTACTTCGTAACAGAGGCATAAAAAGGATATATGTCCTCACAATTTCTAAGCAGCCGTTCATCTACGAATGAAAGGTGACAAAAAATTACGCCCTAGACAGGAAAGCAAATTCTTCATGAGCGGAAGTCATGTATAAAACAAAGGGACAGCTGTGTTTGCATATTTTGTAAAAATACATTTATAATATAAATTTTGAAGTGCATTATATGATAACACAATGTATTTACCAAAGAAAACTTATCATTTCCACTATCATATGGTTTTCACAGGAAAAACTATGTACCTTAGATCGCTTCAGCTTGTCGAGTTGTTTGCGGAGTCTATCAATTTCATCCTCCTGTTGTAAACAAAAAAAGAGACACAGAAACATAATGCCCCAAATGGAAGTTAAAATCATGAATATCCTAATAAATACATGTACAATGACTATAGCACATTATCGAAAATACTGGAAATACTACAAAACAAGAAACAAGATACAAAATTACATGGCAGATCACTGGAAGTTTAGGAAAAATCTGGACCCTGTTTCATAAAACTTGTTATCAATAACAAATGCTAAATTTCTATTACAAATTTGCTCTCAGGCAATCAAATGCCACGATTTAAGTAGCTTGTAACACTTGTTATTGATAACAGATTTTTTATAAAACACGACCCTAGAAACATTTAAAATGAATACTGTAAAATGGCGACTGGCTTGAATGCTCCCCAGGGAGTGGAGAATGTGCATACATTGTGTGCAGGTAAGCATGACTGGGGTAATAATATATATATCTGTAAAGCGCATTGAGAGGGCCTGCGGTCCTGAAAAGGTGCTATATAAGGACAAACTATTATTATTATTATTATCAGAAATGGCCATGTTAAACTAAGATATGTACTCTCAATTTGTTTCTTACTAAGTCATGGTGCTCTGGTACATTGCAGAAGAGTCCTTCGATCGGTCCGTTCACTTGCCTCAACTTGCCCCTCCTACTTTCACTAATGGTAATGTCCTGCTCCCTGCCTAAATGTACTCCCTGAGTAGCAGGTGCATGTTGAAGTTGTGGTTGGTACATTGCCTGTCCACTAGTGGTACCTCCCATAGGTACAGCACTGCCTTGAGGCGGTGCTCCAGAGAGTCTGGGCGGTACTGCAGTAGGCTGTATAAAGGGTACAGGGCCTTGTAGTGGTGGTTGCGTGGATGGTGCCTGAACACGGTGGCTCTGGTCTAAAGGTGCAAATGACACCGAAGGCTGGAAGCCGGTTCCTGCGGTACTCTGCGCCACCATAGGTGCAGGTGGCAATGTGGAATGTTGAGGGGTATATGGCAAGGATTGTGGCGCATAATTCATGTTCCCTGGGGGTGGCGGTTGGGATGGATGACCTGGCAGCATAAATGATGAGTTTCCATGGTATCCTGAAAATGTAACACAATATTTTCATGTACGATATGGCTATAAATGAACTTTGCTAGTGTATTAGAGTCTACAGAATGATATGATTTACAATACCAACATATCCATACACAGGGAAGTTCAAGGCACCTACAAAATTACAATTACCGTGGCTTCAGTCAATCTGCCTTTTAAAGAATCAAATGTGAAGAACATTTCTTCTGTCCAGGTTAACTTTACACTTCAGACTGTAAATTAATCAACATGTACATAAACAATGATTTAAAGAGAAGAAGAGGTAACTACTGGCAGGACTCTATTTGTTATCACTCAATATCATACTATCTAATAGGAATTATATGTATGGTTCAATAAGTTTCCTTAGGTTTGCAATATTCAAGATACTATCCACAAATATTTTAAATCAAAAAGAATAATCTTAGTTCATGAGATGTCAATGCGTACCTCTATCATTGAATGCAGGATCTGCTGCAGGGGTGAAGGGGGGTAACGGTGCACCCCTACTTGGTCCTCTGTTGTTCATATGATGCTGCTGCCCGTCCAAGGCTTGCCTCAATCCAGCTATCTCTCCCAATAAATTCTGCAGATCAGTCGCTGTCTGAGGAGCTATAGAAGAGATTCATTATTATTGCAAGGCTTTCTTGAAAAGGATATTGACCAATGTATATATGAATAGGACATTTGGATATTTCCAGTTGATCAACTGTACGCATAATTGAAGAGAAAATGGTGCATGGCAATAATACAGTGATAGTCATTAGTCATATGGGGTGATTTTTTTGATTTTTTTAAAAACAATAAAGACAAGTACTACAACCCCAAATAAGCAACTTTAACTTATGCAGAATAATGCAAAGTAATATAATCAGATTTTCCATCTGTGGTTAAATCCACCCAGAACCGAATAATTCATACCCGACTGTTCTATAGGTTTGATTGAACCAAGGATTCTTTGAAGTAAACTGAATATAATAATACTAATATAACAGCGACTATATGAATATACTCTGCTTATACTGTGCTTAATCATATTATTACCCGGCTGTAGCTGGCGCTAATGCATTCAAGGAATTCTTTCCTACCAGTTACCCATTTACTTCACCATGGTGGAGAGTGGCAAAAATATATAGATTAATGTCTTGCCAAAGGTCATTGGTACTGGTGGGATTCGAACCGGTACCACAGTCCGGGGGAAGTATCCATTAGACCACGATACCTTGGATCATACATGTTCCTGACTGTTCTACAGAATATATTCATCAGGTTTGAGTCAACCAAGTAATTCTTTGAAATGAAATGAACTGATTGTACCTGATGGCTCTTGCGCTCGAGTCACCCCATCTAGAAGATCCTGTAATCGCAGGATTTCATCCTTCTGTGCTCCCAGGACATCATGCAATGCTCCAATTTCCTCCTGTTGATTAGCTTTGGAAACAAACATCGTTATTCTCATTATCATTAGTGGTGGTAATTTTACCTGACTGCTAAGAAAGTATAAATGCTTGTTAGTCAGCAACCATAGGACCGACGGCTTTAGGTCCTCTCCGAGGGACCTGGTAATGAGGATTAATACCTTTATAATACCAAAGGGAACTAGCGTATCGACTTGGTTTTGAACCCGGGTTGCTGGATTACAAGATCACTGCTCTACCAACTGAGCTATCCCGCCTATTAAATTCCAATTTAATATCTACCGTAACCAAGGACAGGAGCGAGAAAAAAATATGAGTAAATCATATTCCCACCTCCTCTCAAATTGGCTGTATACTTATCCCAACTCTGATCATGGCCACTATTAAAGCATTAGAAAGTAATTGGAACTTGAAACATAGACATGTTATGAAAATGGTTATACATATTATTTACATTTGGACAATCAAGAAACAAATACATGTATATACATAAACTGTATATCAATTTGACATTGATTGTGTATAGGTCGAATTGAAAACGCTGGAGTATTTATATGATGATTTTGACACAGTTCGCGTGATGGGAGAGATTAACATTTTAAGGTAGCCATTGACTGAATTGTGAAAGCTGCCCCAATTTGAAGTGAATGGTTTTCGTAAGTGGGGGTGTAAATAAAACAATGTAATCATAGAGCTCACTTTCCTGTGACACCTCACACATTAAAGTGATTTTGGACAGAGTGTAGCAACAGAGGATTTAACTCTTTAATTGTGAATATCCTAATGCTTTGAAAGTGCATTTCGGACAAGAAAGTACATATCCGACAAGAAAGTACATTTCAGACAAGAAAGTACATTTCTAACAAGAAATCTTCAATGTGTTCAATACCAATGGCATGTGAAGCAGTCTCCCCATGGTGTAATGTCTCCTCCAGCTCCCTCTCTCGGTTGGAAAGTACTTCCTCCAGGCCGTCAATCTCCTCTTGAGCCTTGGCCAGTTCATTGATAGCTCTCTGGGCCAGGTGCCCTCCATCAATCTCCGCCTATAGACAGAACAAAATAAGAGATGATCAGTACTACTTCAAAATCAATCTCTTCTTGAGCCTTGGCGAGTTCATTGATAGCTCTCTGGGCTAGATGCCCTCCCTCAATCTCGGCCTACAGATAGAACAATATAAGAGATGATCAGTACTACTTCAAAATCAATCTCTTCTTGAGCCTTGGCGAGTTCATTGATAGCTCTCTGGGCCAGGTGCCCTCCCTCAATCTCCACCTACAGACAGAACAAAAATAAGAAATGATTAGTCAGGAAAACTTAACGGATGCACCATGTTTGTAGTCCTTATAAGGACTGGGGTATTCTTTCTTGGAGAGATGAGTTAGTTCTTAAAAGAACTGTTGTATAATTCATTCGTGGCCGTGGGTACAGTACTGACAAGAACTTGCAGATCTTTCAAGCAAGAGGTGGTCTCAATGTTTCTGACAGTGTGCTCAGTCATTTGTCAGGAGAATGGCTTGAATGAGAAAAAACATTACAATATCAGGGCCCCATTTCACAAAACTTGTCATCAGTGACAAATGGTAGTTTCTTTTATAAGCTAGTGAAATCCTTGCTTCTGATTGGTTATCAGCAGATTTGTCACTGATTTTTATCATTCGTCATTGCAAAAAGGCTTTGTGAAACGGGTCCCAGGTGAACATGCAGACATGAAGGGAAACTGGTGCAAATAAGGACCCGGGTGAAGCCCAATAGTTCCTCCAGTCCCAGTGGTTCCCCCAGTACTTATAAGGATTACACACACGGTGTATCCGTTAAGTTTTCTTGACTCATCTACCTCACTATGCAAAGAAAAAGAGATGATTACCGGTAGTACAGTCAAACCTGTCTACAAAAACCACATTTTTCCCTTGAAAAAGGTTTCTCATTGAAACATGTACTGGAGGAACCTGTACATAAAGACCACCTGCATATAGTAACCACATTTCTTGTCTCCCTTAGGTGGTCTTTATATACAGGCTTCACTGTACTACAAAATCAAAGAAAACAGAACAAATGATAAACAATAAATATTTCTTGACTATATTTTAGAATATACATGTATCAATCTTTTCCTGAGTCCTTGATAGTTATAATTAGGCACCTATTTGATATCCTATTCTGATCAAACGTGGGACAGATCATTGCAGGTTAGGTTTCTACCCACAGGACTCTCTATGACTAGGAACTTGTATACAACCTGCCCCAAACAACTACATGTACTCTCCAGCTATTTAACTTAGACAATTACCCCCCCAAACACTGAAAACCACTAACATAAATACTCTTTAACTCCTCAGGTAATATTAGGTGGACAAAGGGCTTAATTATTTCAATATATTATTTCATTTATTTATTTATTATAAATTTTATATATATATATATATAATTTTTTTTTGGGGGGGAAGGGTTTTAATCCTGGGGGCAGGGTTGGCCAGAAGAAGGGATAGTTGTCCTGCTGACATGGTTTATTATGAAGCAAGAACTAACCTGTGCCAAAGCAGAAGCGTGTCTCAGCTCTGCCTCTCTTGCTTCTCTGTCCTGAGCCTTCTTCTTGCTCCGTTCTCCTGCCCTAGCTTCCTGCTCCCTTTTACGGAGCTCCGCCTGGAGCTGGATTATGTCATTCTCAGCATCTGCAAGCTATCCACAATAAAAATAATATCTTCTCAATTAGCAAATGTGGATGGAAACACATTATTACGGCCAATTCAAAAGTGATGCTCCATATTGAGAAGACATCGGTAAAAAAAAAAACAGACCTCTAAAACGTGCAGGCACTGTTGAATTGAGATAGAGCTGAGTGCATTCAAGGAATGAATCCTACCAGGTACCCACTTACTACACCTGGGTCGAGTGTGGCAAATGTAGATTAATGTCTTGCTAAAGGACATTAGTGCCATGGCAGGATTCGAACCCTGTACCATGTGGTTCACAACCCTGAGACTTACCCACTAACCCACCACACCTCTAGAAGAACTGTAAAACATTACAGAATGAAACTCTTAGGGATTGTAATTCTACCTACCTGCTGTGCAGCCATTCTGTCCTTGTTCTGAAGCTGGTTCCTCAAATTGGCCACATCACCCTGCAACCTCTGCATCTGGTCCCTGACCCTGGGGTCAATCCCAGGGGGTACACTCCTAGAGTCTACCTGGGTCATTACAGCAGGGGGTTGAGGAGGGGGTCTGGGTGGGGGCTGAGAATAGGAACAAAATATTGCAGAAAATATATAAAATTGGAACAATGTTTCAAACCATATTTACTGGATTATTGGTCACCCATACCTTTACAAAATGAAATTATTATATGATTACTGAATAGTTACATATAATTTCAAATTCTTATTTTAGGCCATGGAAGACTCCACATGGGCTGTCTTCTTTTTTCAAGGAGACTTATCAGAACTATAGATTAGCTTTAACTGAGCTAGTATTTGACTTTGAGGTACTCTGGCAACATTGTTCACAACTGCATCACAGCCTTTAATAAATTCCACATAAGATTTCACTGATAAAATGATAAAGTGATTATTTATCTAAATGTGCATATATGTTAATGCCCCACCAAATGGGCCATAGAATGTGTAGGAATTTTTAACAATTTGTATGTTCTTGTGAGAAAGTTTGTCTAGGTCTTAGAAGATGTCTTATAACCATTCACAAACAATTTTTATCCTGCTAGTAAGCAAGTATTACAATATGAAAATGAAATGGAGCATTGTATAATCACCTGCTGGTTCTTGGCTTGTTGGAGCTGTTGTTTCAATCTCCCAACCTCATCCCTCATCCTCTCCATCTCCTCCTCGTCGTCCTCCCAATCAGCATCCTTACCCTGAAACACAACATCAAATAGATAATATAAATTAGCATAGATAACAAACCATTTATCATCCTCTCATTCTGGATCCCCCTCTCTCTCTCTCTCTCTCTCTCTGACACCTTTCAATCAGCATCCTTACCCTGAAACACAACATCAAATAGATAATATAAATTAGCATAGATAATAAACCATTTATCATCCTCTCATTCTGGATCCCCCCCTCTCTCTCTCTCTCTCTCACTTTCTCACCTTTCAAACAGTATCCTTACCCTGAAACACAAATTTGCATAGATAAAACAAGCGATATACTATTAATGAGCATCTCCTCTCCTCTCATCTCTTCCCCCTCTCTCTTTCTCTTTCTCTCTCTCTCTCTTTCTATCTCACTTTTCAATCAGTATCCTTACCCTGAAACATAAATTTGCATAGATAAAACAAGTGATATACTATTAATGAGCATCTCCTCTCCTCTCATCTCTTCCCCCTCTCTCTTTCTCTTTCTCTCTCTCTCTTTCTATCTCACCTTTCAAACAGTATCCTTACCCTGAAACACAAATTTGCATAGATAAAACAAGTGATATACCATTAATGAGCATCTCCTCTCCTCTCATCTCTTCCCCCTCTCTCTTTCTCTTTCTCTCTCTTTCTATCTCACTTTTCAATCAGTATCCTTACCCTGAAACATAAATTTGCATAGATAAAACAAGTGATATACCATTAATGAGCATCTCCTTTCCTCTCCTCTCTTCCCCCATTTCTCTTTCTCTTTCTCTCTTTCTATCTCACTTTTCAATCAGTATCCTTACCCTGAAACACAAATTTGCATAGATAAAACAAGTGATATACCATTAATGAGCATCTCCTCTCCTCTCATCTCTTCCCCCTCTCTCTTTCTCTCTCTCTCTCTCTCTCTCACTTTCTCACCTTTCAAACAGTATCCTTACCCTGAAACACAAATTTGCATAGATAAAACAAGTGATATACTATTTATTAGCATCTCCTCTCCTCTCATCTCTTCCCCCTCTCTCTTTCTCTTTCTCTCTCTCTCTCTCTCTCTCTTTCTATTTCACTTTTCAATCAGTATCCTTACCCTGAAACACAAATTTGCATAGATAAAACAAGTGATATAACATTAATGAGCATCTCCTTTCCTCTCCTCTCTTCCCCCTCTCTCTTTCTCTTTCTCTCTCTCTCACTTTCTCACCTTTCAAACAGTATCCTTACCCTGAAACACAAATTTGCATAGATAAATTAGTATACATAATGAGTATAAGATGTTCTAACCTTGGTTTGGTCCTGGTCTCTTGCTGCCATGTCTCTCAACCTTGCTTGCATCTGCTCAAGCTGATGTCTCAGAGACTTGGCTTCACCCTCCGCCTGTTGAGAAAAAGGTCATAGCCTAATTACAGGACCCATTCAAACATGACAAGGTAAAATGGCTAAGAAAGATGCTGCTGCAGCAAAGTAAAAACTCTTTTCTGTTTTAATAAACGGCAAGTTGGAGCGAAAATCTAGCTGCATACAACATAGGCCACCATACATTATATACTCGTTGCACACAGCACTACATGTATATCTTATACTATTTTGCAGCATCTTTTTTTAATCATTTTTAGTAGTTTCCTGTTTATATGTGGACAAGGCCTTTACCATTTTCAGACCAATGCCACTCACCATCTCCCTCAAAAGGAATGGATGGCTCAGCAGTGAGAGGAGTGGTCTCATTGTTAAACCAAGTCGATGCGCTAGTGCCCTTTTGGGAAAGGATTAATCCTCATAGTCCCTTGGAGAGGACTCAAAGCTGTCATTCCCCTGGTTGCTTACTTACAAGCAGTCGGGTAAAACAATCAAACAAACATGATAATCCCTGAAATGTACGAAAGAATCCTACTTTTTGCTGGTATCGCTTGGCCCTCTCGGCCTCCTGCTGCGCCTGCCTCATCCTCCCCGCCACCTGGCCCTGCAGCCCTGCCAGAGATTCCCCTACTATATCGCCCTCTCCCTGAGGTCCTACCAGGCTCTCATCTTCCCCCGGCCCCGTTGCCATGGCATCACCGGCGTGGTTGATACGCTGAGCTACATCTTCGGGGTGGAGGGATGAGTTGAGGAGGTCGTCGTACTGTGCTTGCTGGTCGCGGAGACGGTTCTTCAGCGCTTGGTTGGCCTTCTGTTACGAACAAGTTCAAATTGAAATCAGTTATAGTTAACATCCGTTAACAAACATATTAGTTTCACCATCAACCCATGCATCATAAACATTGTAGAAATGGGATACAAATGTGAAACAAGTATGATCATGCTTTCATTTAAGCAATAATTACAGAAAAATGTCCATTTAATCAGTTGAGATAATGAAAAATACGATTCTAAGGAATGTATTAAGCAGAAAGAATATGTGTTATTTTTTTCTTGTTACGACCACTTGAATATCCTAGTTTTAAATAAACAAAAATATACATGTCGAGATATATTTGCAAATAAGAAGGAAGAAAGAGACAGGCGTGGGGGTGGGGGGTACTGGGACTGAACCGGCTTCTTACTTATAACCTGAGAGTAAAAATGCCATCAGTCCATTTGCAATAGACCATTTTCCTGATTTAATCAATTTAGTGCCTAAATCTTTGTCAAGTGCCTAGTTACAAATTACTTCATTTCACCTGTTATGAATAAATCAAATAATCAGAATGCGATTTGCATATATTAAATATTGCTAGGTAGGACAACGTTATGGCTTGTTCTACCTAATATGTAACGAGGCATGTTACAATTTATGCATTGAATTTGATTACATTACGAAAATGGTCTATTAAAGAATATCTATTGCATTGTAAGATGTTGGTGGCCAACTGCACCTGTGCCTCAGCTAACTGTTTGGCTGCAAGTATATCCCGAGCCTCTGCTTTGCTTCCCTTGGCTTGTCTGGCCTGGTCTGCTGCCCTCTCCAGCTCACTGCGTCTTGCTTCTAACTCGTGCTCTAATTCCTCCTTGTCAGCCTACATATAAACAATGTCAAATGGGTTGATTGGTGGCAGATTAATCAGTTGTGTATAAAGTGCACCCCTCTTGGTAAAGTCTTTCTGGAAAACTAAATAAACTTTATAAAGCCTACAAGATTTTATCTAAAGCCAAGCACTTAGATACGGGTATGCACAGACTCATAATATATTTAATAAATTGTTAACATTATAATAATATTACAGCTCACCTCCGTTCAAATAAAATACAATATCAGGGAATAATTTTCAGCAAAAAAATTGCATAGCAAAACTGCTATACAAAATAATTTTTGCATAGCAGTTGGATAAATTTGTATCGCAATTTTTTTCTCATATAGCAAAGCGCACATTTTCAGCCCACTACAATAAGATGAATGTACATGTAAACATGGTGGGTGTACTCACATTTCTAGTCCTCAAATGGATATGGCCACTTGCTGCAGTGACAGTAAACAAACAACTCCCAGGTACGATCATCGCGCACATGCGATGCATGTAATTAGATCCCACGTGCATTGTCATTGCATTGTGCAATGATCGCGCGAACCATGCCTCAAAACAACAATCGCGGTTAGAAAGTGATCGTAGCATGCCATGTGCTTGCGCGACAATGGGTGTATGTGTATAAGCTTCACGGTTAGAGAGTGACTGCAGTATACTTCACGCACAGTAGTTACGCTGTTAATGCAAACATACAAGTGCGAGTGAGTAGCCAATTTCGCGATCGCCGGCCCTGTATTCTGATTACAGGGCCGGCGATCGCGAAACGGGCTACTCACTCGCACTTGTACTGAGGTGTGATGAGCTAGCCTAGTAATTCAGATTATTCAGATCGCGAAACGGGCTTCTCACTCGCACTTGTACTTGTACAGAGGTGTGATGAGCCCGCCCTTAAACATGTATGTTTGCATTTGCATCGCAGCAATTGCGATTCCGATTCATAAAAAAAGATGTGTAGCAAATGGCTGAAAATGCGTCGCAAATTGCGATGCGATACCGGGAAAATTATTCCCTGAATATTTGTCTTATCTCTTTACATCATTCCGCTATCAGAATGATTTTCAACACCAATACAGAGTATTTTCGTTTTCAAAGCTATAAAACTCATATACTGTACCGGTACATGTATGTATCATCGTCATCAAGACTGTCATCAACTCTGTCACCACTATGCCACCATGACTTCTACCAATATCCACCTCCTCCTACTATTACTACAACTCCTCCTCCTCCTCATCATCATCATGATCACTATCTGCATGATCATCACCACAATAAGCATAACTAATGGCATCATCATCATTATCATCATCATCATCATCATCAAGAATATCATCGACTCTGTCATCACTACCCCATCATCACTCTCACCACTATCCTCCTCCTACTACTATAACTCCTCTTCCAAATCATCACCACAGTCATCACCATAACAATCATCATCTTCATGAACATCACCAAGTATTAACATCATCATTGTCATTTTTATTGTCAAAATTACAATCATGATCACCATCATCACTGTTCGAATCACCATGTTCATGATTATTACCGCAATAAGCAATAACATCATCACCATCATCACCGTTAGAATCGCCATGGCAACCCTTTCTTACCTCTGCCTCCCTCTGCTGTCTCCTCAGGGCATTCTTCAGTTTACCGGCCTCTTCTATGGCAGCTTTGAGCCTTGCATCTTTCTCAGGGTCTGGTGAGTTCATCCCTCTCTGCGATTCCTTCAGAGCCAGGTTCTCGGCCTCAATGTCCTGTTTAGCGTCTTCTGCATCTCTCAGTTTCTGTGAAGAGATGGGGGTATTTACAACATTCAGTACTTTAAAGGTACTTGGTAACATTGTTCAGATGAGAGATAGTGGAGCTAAGGTAGTGACTTCAATACTAGATGTACAATTAAAGATAATCTGAAAATATGAGTGAAAACGGACCATGATTCATGGTACAAATTGGGAAAAACTTTATCTGATCGATTCCTTAATTCTCCCAACTATATTATTACAATTAATTACATTTTAGGTGAATGAAAATCGTCACAAAGCAATAAAATGGCTCTTCATTCCATTCCAGACATTTAAGTGTTGACTGATTTTTTATAGCCTGTTTTATTTTATATGTTCATGGAAAAACGGTTGGGAAAATTCAAAAATGGTTGAGAGAATTTACTGTTAATCACTGTTAGAGGGTGTCATACATCGACTCCTTCAAAGAAAACCATAGATATCTTCATGGTTTGAGAATTTTTTCAGGATTTTTTGCATGTCAGAGGGTTAGTACAGTAGAAGGAATATAATAAGTAACATTTTATACAAAACTTAAGCAATTTTTTCGTCAACCTTCAACAATGTTACCAAGTCACTTTAAAGGGAGATGGTCGTCAGACTCCAAGCGCAGAACGTTATAATTCGCTGACACCAGACTTGGTGGAAATACCATTAATGGGTGTACACGTCTGCACACAGCAAACTCGTAGGCCAATCAAGAAATACCCTCTGTCTCTCGGAGAGTCTTTGGGTGATGCAAATGTCAGATAATGACTTTACCATACAGGGAAAAGACAGAGCATTACATGTACATAAAGCCTGTTGGTCATAACACTGCAGGCTAATCCTGGTAATTCTCGCTACCCCAAATAGCGATTCTGCCGAGATCCGGGGAAAATCCTGAAAACGCGCATTGCATTATGGGATAGCTTTTCGACATTACAGCTTCCTGTGCCGTCCTCCACAACAACACAGCGTCGCTTTCGCTCGGAAAGTTCGTGATCACAACCCTCTCTTTCACGGTAGAGTTTAACGGCCTTTTGTGCTAAAGTCACTAATTCTGCCCGAAGCTTTCCATTGCATGGTATTCCTCTGTCCGTTAAGATTTTTTAAAGTTCCGAAACTGTTTTTTTATCCATTTTGTGGTCGACGAGAAATACATGAACTGAGTGTTGTCTCTACACTGTTTACTGTATCGTCTGCTCGTGATTGTGACGCTGGTCGCTACATGCACAATTTTAAGACAATTATTTTTTTTTTACTTTTAGATTAACAGAAAAAAAACATGAATAAAAATAAAAATCTTTCCTGTAAACTATTTTTTGCTTTTTATTGTATATTCAAATTGAATAAAAACAAACTAAATTTAATGCATATATTATAATCTGTACAAATTACACTGATTGGCATCGATTTTAGCGTGCGTGAAAACTCTGCACAGCGAACACAGGCGCTAGCGCCAGCGGGATGGGACTCTATACCGGAAGTTGTAGTGACGACCCGAGAGAGTGAAAATTACCTCGTCTCGCGAATTTCGAGATTTTCGTACCTATTTAGGGTAGCGAGAATTGACAACACTCCCATGAGAGCCCACTTCTATGTGTTTTTAATACAATATCTGTGAAGCCTTCCATTTTCTCAATGACAGGTACATGTGTAATGTACATGTACACTCAATTCAAAATTGTAAGCATGCACCCTTATATTTTCCAATGTGTTTATTGTATTACCCATTTTTACACCAATAGAATTTGTTGCTTCAACCCGGACCAAGCACAAACACCACATCTAACACCAAACCTAACTTTAACCCTAAATCCAACAAATTTCAATTGGAATCCAAGCCATGATTCTACATGTATTTCTTTGAGGAAAAGCACCACTGAAAAAGTTGGATCAATTACACATGTTGGAGAAGGAGACTCAGATGAGTCCTGAGTAGTTTGCTTGCCTCTAACAAAAAAAACTAGTTTTCATGTTTTTTTTTCTTCTTTTGGACAACAGTACAATCCAGTCTTTCCATGGCACAAACACACTTCTGCAGGCACTTTATGACAACTGCTGAATACCAACTGCAAATCTTGAAGTGGTACATGAACGTTGGTATAGATATACATAAGCAGTGTTCCCAAAGATAAACCAAAAGATTGGTGCTTGTGAATTTTACCAGCAGACAAAATGTGTGAGAAATTAAGTAAAAATCAAGACATTTTCAAGTCAGAGAAATGAATGTGTGACAGAAAGAAGGGAGCAAAATAATGAAGGAAGTATCTGAATAGAACGTACTTCAAACAAATGAAATCCGCAAAAACACAATGCCTACCGTCTGGGTCCACCACAGCGCCAGCTTGTGGCCATCAAGTGAAGAATCAACAAAGATTTTTTTTAACCAAAGAAACCAAAGCGATCACAAGTAAATGAATTAATTGGTTGGGATTAGAAGAATCATAACACAGCCATTGTATATAAATTACATAATTCAAAAACTCATAATAGAGTGTAAACAATGCGTGTGATATATTTTGTAATAATTTTTAAAAACATATTATACATCATGTATTATTTTACAGCTGCACACTCTCAAAGAAAACATGAATATTATGTTTGGTGACATAATCTCAATTTCATATGAATTCTTTTGCAATGAAAGGTTAAAGAAATGATATAAGGAGAAGTTAAAACTAGCGTGTACTTTAATAGCCATTTGGTCTAATCTCCAATAAGTAGACTACCCATTTGGTCTATTGCTCATTTAGTCTAATTTTCCAGTCTGTCTACTATCCATATGGTCTAATAATCATTCAATCACAGCCAGTAATAATCATCAAATGATTATTAGACCTCATAAGACGGCATTTCAGGGAGGTAAAAAATGATAGACTACCTTTTCCAGAGCATCCACCTTTTTCTGTCCTTCCTCTTTCCTCCTCCTCTCTGCCTCCTTCAGTCTCCCTAAGAGCTCCTCTCTCTCCTGCTGGAGCCGGGCATTCTCCCTCTGCTGCTCCACGACCTGACCTTTGACCTGGTTCAGGTAATTGGTCAGGCCTCCCACAATGCTCTGCAGCTCGTTACGAAGCTCGTCGTTCAGATCGACTTGTCCTAAAAATTAAGATTTGATTTTGATCAGTTTTAAAGAAAAAAATACTTACGGAGCTTTTAAAAAAAAACAACAATAATATAAGTGAGATTTTGGCAGAGAAATAAATAATTGTAATGTAGTAGTTCATTACTTATGTTTTTACCAGAGATCTTTACAGTATTCATGAGCCTCAATGTATATTGCTCACTATGTTCTTGTTCATCATTTTCAGTGATTTTGATATCAATGACGTTTTGGTGGTTGCAGTCATTTGTATTAAAATGATGTTCAGAAATGTTAATCACACAATAAATTCATTCATAAATTAATTGTATGGATGAATAAATGTACAAAACTTAGAATGAATAACATCAAAGTAAATCAGCAGATGACATACACTCTATGAAATAATGATTGACTGAATATAAAATGGTAAACAAATAAATTGATAGATAAAATGAATGAATGAATAAGCAAATGAATGCATACATGAATGACAGGTACATGAATTATTTAAACCACAGTGGTCTATGTACTCTGATTATCATTGGGTGTTTGTATAATTTTACCATTTGTAATATTGTATTTTATGTACTTTTAAAATGTTCTTGTAAAATTTGAACAATTCAGCCAATGGCTGCTAATCGAGATTAGTCTTATACCATGAATAAATGAATAAATAAATAAATAAATAAACAAACAAATAATGTACAGTCAAACCTGTCTATAGCAACCACCCAAGGGAACACAAAAAGTGGCCTTTGCAGACAGGTGGTCTTTGTAGACAGGTTCCTTTCGTACATGTTTCAATGAGAAACCATTTTCAAGGGAAACAAAAAATGTGGTCTTTGTAGACAGGTGGTCACTAAAGCAGGTTTGACTGTATAGGCGGTGTCACACAGAAAAATCCCGACCCATCTTGAATGAACCAGATTTTAGAAATCTATTTTTTGCATTATAAAAACGTCGGTGACAGACAAGCTACAAATAATCCGGATAACTAAAATCCGGATTTTTGATGGTCCATTATAATATAATTGTGCGCAGGTTATGATAGCGCATTAAAAACCATATGCCAACCTATCATTGAGTCAAACATTGACCTTACACTGACCTTAGAGGATTAATTCAACATTGGTGTCAGACAGAAAAATCCCTTGAAAATTGAGAATTATCTTGCTTCGTTAGAGGACTTTTAAGGGATTTTTTAAGGGATTTTTTAAGGGATAATTGATGACAGACAGCCAATTAAGAGGATACTAAAATGATTTTTGGCCTCTGTGTGACACCGCCTTATATGAATGGTTACATTAGTGAAGGAGTTGAACCTCACCATCTGCTAGTTGTTGTTCTACAGCTTTCACCCTATCCATCTCTGCAGTGAGTCTACCCAGGGTGTTATCTAGATCATGCTGGAGGTTGGCGTAGTTCCTGGCTACCTGAGCGGCCTGGAGTTCCCTGTCAGCCAGCTGGGCATGAAGTTCAGCCTAGGAAAAGAACAATAATAATATTAATAATCCGTTCTTATACAGCACATAACACATTATAATACAACGTTCCTACGCGTTTCAAAAGAGCTTTAGCTCTGGCAGCTGTTATCAGCACACAGTGCATTTCAAGGAATAATCCTACCTGGGGGCTGTTTCATACATAAAGATCCTAAGTTGAACTTATCTTTAAGTTGGGCTTAACAATTATGGAAAGCTGTTAGTATCTTTAAAAATACTTTTAAAAGATATTGTAAAAGGCATAAATTGTTGATTCAAATCATCTGTTATCAAGGAGATTTCATGTTCTTGATGTGGAATTTATGAATAGTCTAATTTTTGCTTTACAATATATTCTATTTTAATGCTACAAATGGCTCTCCATAATATTCAAGTCCAACTTAAAGTTAAGTTCGACTTGGGATCTTTGTCATACACCCCCCAGGTACCTGTTTACCTCACTGGGCAAATGTAGATTTAAGTCTTGTGGAGGCTTGTTTAAATGATTGTTTTTTAGTGTCAGTGGTGTTTTCAAATCATTAATTGAATTGAATCTTGTTTATGAAGTGTTAAACTGGCATAATATTCTAAATTTGTTGAATTTCATTGATTTTAATCATTGTGTTTTTCTTCTCCACCCTCCTTTAAATAAAGTGGGAAATGAATGGAAGTCTTTCAATTTTTTCCATCACAACGACTTACGTGTCTTGGGTCGCCCTCCTCCATCAAGGCCAGCTGTCTCTTGAGATCAGCCATCTCTCTATCCTTAGCCTCGATGATATCCAGAGTGGTCGCCATGCCATCCTCCAATTGAGTGATGCGATCCTTGAGCCCCGTTACCGAGCGCAGATGCTCGCCTAGCAACCCCTCCAGGCGATGGCGCTCCTCTTCTTCGAGAGGCTGGATGGAAAAGAGGATTTATTGGTTAAAGATAAAGTTGAGTTCTGGAGGGCGTTTCACAAACTTTAAGCCTTTTTCTAATGACAAATGACACCAATTAGTGACAAATCTGCTGATAGCCAATCAGGAGCACGGATTTCAGAAGCTTATAACAAAAACTGTCATTTGTCACTGATGACAAGTATACATTTTGTGCCAAAATTGTTTGGCAAATGACATTTATTTGTAATCTTGAACATTCAGTGTAAGTTTAGTTTGATTCTGTGAGAAATCTTTCTTTTTTTTTTACCAGAACTCAAGTTATCTTTAAATCTCCCATTTTAAAAGACAAATTTATTTCAGTGATGCTTAGTAAAATAAAAATATATTTTGTATCAAAGTAAAAGGTATAGGTTGAGAAAAAACAACACTGAAGGTGACCTAAGCAAATTCCAAGATATTGAAAGTATTCATGCACACATTTATTGACATCTAGTTTTGTAATGAAAGGATTAAGAAATGATATAAGGAGAGGTTATAACTAGCATGTACCACCGGTAACAAGTTAGACTAAAAATGTGTCAGCTTACAAGAAAAAAAAGAGGTAACTCTTCATCAAGTGTCCCCAAGGATGTGATTGGGTGGGCAGCAAATTAATATGCATTTTGAGAACTACATTTATCCATTTTAAATGTTTCACCTGTCTTTCAGTTTCATGACATCTAAAGAACACTTTTCGCTCGAAATCTATACACGATCAACACTCTTAACCCATTGCTTACTGGAACCTGGTGGTCCCTGTGTTAAGTCTATGGGAATTAGATAATTCAGTAGTCAACCGGTTAACAATGAAAAGTTACACCTTTTCCATAACATTTCTTTATCCTTACAAAAATTGAAAAGTGGGTATTTGTAACACATGAAAATATGACCACTATCTTATCGTTGAGAACTCCAAGCTTGTGAAATCTTACAGGTTTTTTCTCCATCCTATGCTCTGCTTCTCGCAACCTGTCGTTCACCAATCTGATTTGATCATCTGCATCAGCTAGCTGTTTGTGTAATTTCTCCAGTCTTTCTTCAGCTGTGAGGTTGTGAAGGAAAAATTATAGTGTTGGCAATGACTAGAGAATTTTGATTGATTGATTGATTTACTTTTTTAAAACATGGTTAACTGACTTAACTCCAGCAACTAGGCTGGTTTGCAATGGGGACATGAAATAAATACGATTAAATATGAAATACAATTACAAATATCTCAAAACAACACAAAAACAAAATACACATAAGCATAAAAGTATTGGATGTTACAGAGCATAGTGATTGCTGTGATTATTGAGGTTAGAAGAATACAAAATTGCAGCAAAAATAGAACGTGAAATGCATGTACATAGTAAAATACAAAACATTCAAATATTCCAGGGCAGGTCCAAGCTATTGTCCCCTCTGGGGGTCAAATTTCATCTTTATATACATTTAACAAACTATACCTCATTTTAAAGCTGAAACTATGAATTTTATGAATCTGATAAAAAAAAATTAAAATTATCAAAATACGAAGAGTGCCAAGGTCGCGAACTTCGATTTTTATTAATTAGCGTGACGTACGGGACATTACATTTTAATTTTTGTATCTCATTTGAATTATTTGTTTAAAATTAAATATCTCAGGACATGTAGACCATCATGCTAGAAAATAGGAAAAAAATATAAAAACTTTCAAAATTAATTAATTATGCAAATGAGGTAGGTTCCGAAGTGTGATGTCCCGTACGTCACAATTTGATCATAATTTGTTTAATTTTAATTATGAAAATAATTTTTTTTTATAAAGATATTCTAGGAAGTTCTAATTTAGATGAATACCTAACAAAAAATAGGTTTAACAAAAATTACAAAAATTCTGTGTTGATTACATAATCAAATTAAGAAATGTGACGTACGGGACAAGTGTGTGACGTACGGGACAACCCCATACAAAACCAATGCAAGATGTGAAAAAGGAAATGACCAAAAGGAGAATACATACTGTGTAAGGAAACTTGTTGTATACAGGGATATATGAACATTCTAACCGGGTCCCTTCTAGAAATTTAATTGTTTGTACTGAATTTGATGTAATTAGTCTTCAAGCCAGACCCCTGGTATTATCAACTTTGGTATTTTGCCAGTTGATGTCCCCAATATTGGCAGGATGCTAAATATGTAAATCATAATAGTGTACTAGTTCCTGGAATGAGTCTAATGAAATTATATGGTAGTAGATGCACCAGAAGCTGGCTTTTGCAACTCATAGATGCTGTAGGTTATAATAGCCCATGGTATCAAGCTCTCCATGTGAGGTTGTTTTAATATTCTATTTAAATGTCATATTTAGATGTCATATATGATGGTAAAGGATTACAGCATACACTGTACATGTTATGGAGCCAGCCCAGGAATTCTGATCTCCTAAAAACTACATGTAAATCATAACTTTTAAGGAAGGATAGCCTTTTTGAATATTTCACACTCTCACCCACTTAGGATTTTTATCACTTTTACACCCATGCATTTTTGTTGATTTCACTTTAATCTTTTGAATTGTGGAAAAGGTCACACAAACCTTTAGGGTTTTAATTTCTCATACAATGTACCTGGTGCCAGGTGGTGTTAATAAGATGTCTTTAATCAATACGAAATACATTCAATTTTTATATTTTTGTATCCATCTTTCACAAACATGTAGGCTACATTAATGTACATGTACATCAAAATTCTTGAATATCTGACAGCAACATACATATGTATGTACATGTATGTACATGTTCTAATCTGTGATAAAAAGATTTAGAAAAGACAATATGTTCAGCATTATCTTTGAATTCCTTCAAAATTCTATGATATTACTATCAAGTAATTCAAACAAGCTATGAAGAAAAGACTTCATATTTGTAATGTATCTTTGTTCACAAACACTTAGAGCATAACAAATGTTCTTTGACAAAATATGATGTGCCGAGTGTGCCCCTGTGTTTCAAACAAGTTTAAATAAAAGTTTTCAAATTCAAGTTCATCTTCTTCATTAATTATTATCTAAAAACATTTAGCAATGTTGAATGGAATGGATCAAAGAAATAAGAAAAGATTGAAGCATGACTGCACATGATAGATGGGTAAATGGAATAAAAATGGTAATATAGTGTATATGAATGTAAATCAATTTGTTTTCTTTATTAAAGTAATATTTGTATTGATTTACCTCATAAATTATCACAGAGGATATTAAGTGATGGTCAGAGGATCTAATTGGGTTCTGAAACACTCTAATTGCCACTGATTTAAGTTAAAATTGTTCACATTTAACAAATTTTGACGAAAATTCTTCATTTCAATGCATTTTCCCATAGGGAAAAGTTGTCCCGTACGTCACGTGTCCCGTACGTCACATACACACATTTTTGTTTTGGTATATTACATAACAACGGAAGGTCAGAAAAATATAGTAATAGTTGTGATTAATGCTTGATTCCATAATGAATTAAGATATCATTACCATAAATCTCATAACTTAATAAATTCAGAGAACTTTTATGATGAACTTATTTTTGAAAAAGTCAGAAATTCTCTGGTCCCGTACGTCACGCAGCGCATTAATTACATTAAAAATTAATTTATGAATTGGTGAGAACTAAAACTTTTCACAAATGAACCAGCCCATAAAAGCCACAGACTAATACCAAAAGATAGCCATATAAATAATGTCATCCATTGTTATTTCTTGTTTAAAGTCTCTGAATGTCCCGTACGTCACAAAGCAAATAGCTTGGACCTGCCCTCCAATATAAATATATAGTATATAAAACGACACAAAGCATAAGATTGCATAATAGTTTTGGGTGAATGTATTCTCTGTATCATCAATACCAATTCTAAGAGATCATCATGACAAATATTAACAAATCTAAAGTATAAGAATGAGTTTACGCATAAACCTACCTACACAACTCCTAAAAATTTAAATGTACAACATATCAACTTACCAATTTAATCATCTACCATACATGAAGGTTTTGATGACACTAAAAATATTGATAACAAATATTGACACATCTGAGTCCAACTGGTCACTGCTTATCCCCTACAACATCTATGTTTTCCAAAACTAAATAAATTGAACACCAGTTTAGGCCTGATAACATCGCCATACCTCCATTTCAGTACATGTACATAAACAATTTGCAACCCATATATCTCTTCACCAAACCTGGTACTGCAGGCATTGTTGCCATGGTTACCAACCAAGCCAGGAAGAAGGAGCAGGTGCAATGGCAGAGAAGCTAGTCTAGTTCACACACTCAGCTTTTATTTTATGACAAAACTAATAAATTAAAAAATGTCATTAAAAATGAGTAGTTATGACTTCATGAAAAATCTTAAAAACAATAAAAATACAAACAAAGCAAACATAAATGTACATGTACATTATCTCCTCTTAATGTTGACTAATTTTCACCCATATTTCAGATATCACTGTGATTTTTCAAAAAGAGTATATACATGTTTGTATACAATTATTTATTTAATTATTATTATATACTTATATACTTATTATATTTTTTTTTTACTTATTAATGATTTAATTTATCCATGTTCTTTTTTTACCTTGTTATTTTTATTGTTATGCATTTTATATTGTAAACTGACTTGTTTAGTCTTCGGACTTTTTAATCAGTACTCGAATAAAACCAAATATATATGTATCTATCTATGTATGAGAAATTGCTATCCCATAGAAATATATGAAAAATTGCTATCCAATAGAAATATATCATAGCTCGGAAGCAGAATCTTTACATTAACTGTTAAATCAACTGTTAACAGTTCAACAATACTTGTCTTGAGCAGCCAATTTTATTTATGTTATAAATGTACATCACCTTGAATATATATTTGTTAATTTGTTCCAAATGAAAATCAATAAAATCCCTGTGGAGGGAAAAATATGTAGTTTTGATTGTTGTCTCCACAAGTGTTTCATTCATAGAAATCCCTACATTGTACAGGGTGTGTAAAGAAAAATGTTGTATTCACGTCTTTTTCACGATTTATTTACATACACACTAATGGATATAAAGTGACCTAAATGTAGTATTGAATACAAAATTGATTTGAGTAGACTGAGAGGTATCACAGGAAAATGGGGGCAGCTGCTTTAAAAAGTACAGGGTGTGTCAATAATAGTAAAAGTGGGTGTAATGGTTTTAGTTAAAAACTATATGAAATTTTAGGGCTACATATAAGAGCAAAGTGAATTGAAGATAAATGTACATGCCATCACACCACTCAGCCAAAGGTGCAAGTTTGCTATGTGGGTAATATTTAGTGCTAAAATGGTGTTTGGTGCGGCAACTTGTGCATTTTAACATTTTGTCACAATCAGAGTACATGATGTTATACACCCACAACCCATAGCTAATCTTACCCTCAAAGTCAAAATGCATAATACAATTGTATACCCAGAGGTTTCTTTTCATGCATTATTAACCTGGTTCTCACATCTACAATCTCTTTTATTGATCAAGGGAGCAGTCATTGTCATTATGCCTTGCACGCTTTAACAAACTTAATCTAAGAATTGATTATCTCATTATCTGTGTTTGCGGGTTTAACAGTACTGGTAGGTATCCATTCTGAACATGAGTACGCAGACACATCAGATACATGTATAAATACAAAGAATGCAGAATAAATAAATCAATAAAAATCTATTTCATAGCTATGTAGATAACATCACATGTCTGCTTGCACCTAAAAGCCTTGTTTACACATGAAGCAATGAAACACCTAAAACAAAACACGCTGCAACAAAGCGTTAGACATATCATTGCAAGAGACGATTTCAGAAAGGGGGAGGGGGGAAGGGGTAGTTAACGATGACCATATATGCATATTTGCCACAGCTTTCTTTCCAAATCTCAAAATACAGTGCTACAAAATTTTACATGTTTAATTGCAAGAGGCAGGGGGGAGTTAGGGGTGTTAAAAATGGCTATATTTGCCACAGTTTTTTTCTTTTCTTTTTTAGAAGATGTTTACCGCTTCACATCTAAAAGGGCCTTCATGTATATATATATATAGACCTATGCACGATTCTCATATGCTTCATCACCTCTCTTTGAATCTCTTTCTCTTTATCCCAAAGAATATTGTCCAGGGTTTCATTGATTTGTCTTCTTATGGATTGGTCCAACCCAAGGTATGTGTTGATTGCATGTAAACATATACGCACATGGGGACATGGATATCCCCCCACCCCCATGCTTATGTGTATTTTCAACAGCCTCAACAATTGTTGTATTTGCCACAGCATTTTTTTCTCTTTTTTTTTTCTTTTACAAAGAGGTTTACTCAGAGCTGCCAACCTTGTGCAACCCCAAAAAGGAACCATGATGGCAAAAAAAGAGAGGAATTTCAAGTAACAAAAAAAGAAGGAAATGATTAAAACAAAACTTACAACCACAGGCGACACAATTCCAATGCAGAAATGCCCATTCCTCATGCTGTTATTTTCATTTTAGGACCTACAGTGTATTTACAAGAACCGGCAGGTAATTTTTTTTGTTATTTTGTTATTGGTATTATCAGCGTTTCATTCTCTTCAAGAATAATTTTCTCTTGAAGTAAGTTTTAACCTTAGTTTTCTATTGAAGTAGTGATACAAATTTAAGGGCCTTCGGTTGATATGCTGTATGTTTGAAAAAAATAATTTTAAAATAAAAAAAAAAATGAAGAAAAAACGTACTACCGTACTTTAGAGAAAAAAACCGAAATAATTCCCGGAAAAACGCAATGGATGGCAGGTCTGTTTACTGCTTCAGAAACATGTCTCAGATGGTTTTTAATCGTTCTCACCTCTACCAATCTGTTTCTCTTTATCAGCCAAGGTAATGTCCAGGGTCTCGTTGAGTTGTCTCTTCATGGAGGGGTCCACGTCTGCACTCCCCGGGGTGAGGTGGTACCTCAGCTTCTGGCCCCTGGGGGTGAGGTACTGCTCCGAGGCAAACTCGTTGCGTCTGAAGCTGGCTTGGCCGATGTATGCACTCTCTTCCGTGCCACCATCAACCTGAATGGAGGAAAGTACCGGAAATTTCTTTTTATTAGTTTCTTTTTTCCTAAAAATAAAAAGCATCCTCAAGATTAAGCCATTAGCACCTAAACTACCCGGAACTGCCCCTCCTTTAACCCTTTACCTTTACTGCAAGAATGCTGAGACAGCAGTCGAGCTTCCAGGTCTATCTTCTTGGTCTATTTTCTTGTACTCATACTCTTTAATAATAATTTTCATTATATACAAGGGAGGCAGAGGGCAAGAGGTTGCATCTGAACAGCCCGAAACAGCCTGTCCGTTTTCGTCGGATTTCAACGTGCTATAGTATCCGTTCTAGGGTCTACCGAGATAGTATCATACGTACGTAATCCTTACGATGTCCACAGTAGGATTCTGCATAAAAAATAGCGCATGTTTCATATTGTTCAGAACAATGTAAAAATGAGAGCAATATTTTTCAGTGTGTAATAGGCCAGTTTTACACAATCTCTAATTGCTGTTGGGTTAATATAAACTTGTACATACCGGTATTGCAAATTGCTTGATCAAAGGCTGACAAGAACAATTTTTCTGATATAGGTTTTATTTGTGCCAGGAATTTTTTCATTTTTCTTTTACATCATGTCTTTTGGAACTCAATGAGTTCGTTACACAGGAGGCCTAAAAAAAAAGATGTTGTATTGCCCATTAGGTTCTAAAACATGGGGCGGTCGGTCGGAAATCTTTTTTTTTTTAAATAACTTTTTTAACTTCTTTTTTCCTCCTCTTTGGGCTGATATCTCTCAGTTTTGAATGCTTTAATATATTTTTCTCTAAAGAGATTTCAAGATTTTTGGGTCGGTCGCAAAGGGCAATACAATATCTTTTTTTTTAGGCCTGATTCATATACAAATGTAGTGTACATGCCATTGCCCATACTGAATCAGCAGTGGCAAAATATCACGAGGGTCATGATATTTTAATTCCATAACAATTTTGGGATAAGTTTCCGCTTTATAGGTGCACCAGAATATAAAAATACTTATAAGCTGTATTGACGTGACACTACAATATGCATTGCTCTATAAACGTTAAAATCTGCATGGAAAACAACAAAACAAAACAATTTAAAAAAATCTCTCCTTATAAACAATACTACATGTATATAACAATACTGGTAATATGATAAGAATTTCTTCTCCAAAACTTCTGGGCTACACAGCATATCACTGTTTTTCATTCATCAACAAACTTATGAGTACTAATTCTATCAACTTGGCTATGCCATCAAAATTCTTTACCTGGTCTACAAAAGCCATATAAGGGAGCGGTTCAAACTTGGCGTCGATCTTATGGAAGGCCAGCTCCTGCTCCAGACGATACTGCTTCTCACAGGCCTTGGTCAATTCAGCCGTCTTCCGTCTCAACTACATGTTCAAGATCAAGTTGATATATAGTCCATTCATTCATTCATAAAAAGAAAGATAGAAAAGATCATAAAATAGCAATAGCTACATAGAACAGAAATGTGGACATGCATGCAATAACTTATGTTTTGTATTCAACAGAATCAATAGCTAACAGTGACTGTGAAACGTTAAATTTTCAAGGAATCATTGATTTATAATTATGGTTCTTTGCTGCGTTCCTGTTTTTCTTTTCCGTTCCTGTAACATTGTTTCTCTCTTTCTGTCAATTTCTTCAATTTATCCTTAATTTCAAATAAACAAGAACGATACTTCAGGTTCTCGATGAAATTAAATACTGCAGATTTTTCAAGTACGGTAAATGGATACCTTGCAGTGCACTGTCATCAGGAAAATAACAATTTTTTTGGCAGAAATTCCATGTCTTCTCTCTCCCATTTCCCTTTGTTACTTCATTCAATATTTAAATAGATAAACCAATATCGGTAAGGGTATCCTCATCAGTAATGACAATGGTCCTCCTGAGGGTCCAGCCACTATCATTACCCCGGCACTGCCATCCAACCATTTTATTGACCTGGGTCCAGGCGAACAGAAGTGGGCGAAATATCAAGTACTGCACAGAGGACCTCTCGTATAAGATTAAGAGTTACAAGCCATCACCAACGAACACAACCATCCTAACAGCCATCACCCACATACACTATGAACATGACGGACAAAATATACAGTTCCTCATTCTACCCTCAACAATTGCTGTGGTAGACAAAGGAACATCCCTTCACTGCTATTATGTAAAAATGTGTAGAACAGGTGAATATGTATGTGACACCTGTTCTACACATTTTTACATTATAGCAGTGACGGGATGTTCCTTTGTCTACCACAGCAATTGTTGAGGGTAGAATGAGGAACTGTATATTTTGTCCTCTTTCTTTGTCCGTCATGTTCATAGTGATACCACAATGGTCAGCAAACATCATCCCTACTTCTCCTGCTCTCACCAGTTCATCCTTTGCTTTGAGTTCACTCTCCAGCTCTTTGACCCTCTGCTGGTCAAGTTGGGACTTCTTCTCCAGTGCCTGGGCCTTTCCCTCTGTCTTCTTTTTCTCGTCCAGGGTGGTGGTGTGGTCTGCTTCCAGGGCATGGAAACTCTTATCTCTGGCCTCCAGCTGGACCTCCAGGTTCTCAATCTCCTCTGAAAACAATGATAATGGATTTTCAATGGATTTCATCTTATTATTATTTATTTGACCAATCAGAAAACACACAGTATAACAATCAAATAATACATGTACATAGAAATGTCATACTACATGCAAACAGCTTTCAGAAAGTGGAGAGGAGAGAGAGAGAAGGATACAATCTGCTGGTCAGGGGTGACAAAAGCAATTGAAATTGCTATTACTTGAAAGCATGTCACCCCCCTCAGTCTGCATCCTGGAAAATTAAGAGTAAACAGAATAAAAATTCACAATATGAGATAATAAATATATAACAGGATAAAAATGAATTTCATGAATTTCATCAAAACCATTTATATTCTTCTCGTCATCAGGCCTAAAAAGAAAAAGTTGTTGCATTGCCCTTTGAGACCTACCAAAAAATCTTGAAATCTACGGTCGGCTTTTAAATTTGTTATATTGTTTTTTACTGTATTTTAGAAAAAAATGTATGAAGGGCATTCAAAACTAAGAAATATCAGCCCAAAGACCGACCCATGTTTTGGCACCTATAAAGAAGGCAATACAACATTTTTTTTTTAGGCCTCATCATAATCATTATCATTATAATCATAATCCTCATATTTATCATCATCATCATGTTCTTCATATTCATCATCATCATATTCTTCATATTCATCATGGATAAAATAGCAATCAGCATTACCAGGTATACGTGTACTCAAAAGTTTCATTATAAATGAAGTTCATCATCTTTATCATTAAAATAATAAGAATCAATTTTATCATCTGTAGGTTTACCACTTGTTAAACAAATTATGCTATCATTTTATATCCTTTTTTTTAAAATTGAATTTATTAACCATAATATACATGTAAAAGCAAACATACAATAGAAATAGAATTCATACAAAATACAAAGCAAATACATGATCAGGACCGCAAAGAAGCAAATTGCTTATAAATAGGGCCCCCACAAAAACCAAATTAAATTAAATATAATTCAGTCACCATAACCAGGTTACTCACTTTCAAAAAACACAATCATCATCATCTTCTTCATCATAACCATCATCACTATCATCACCACCACCCCACTACCACCACCACCACCAACTCCCCCACCACCACCACCACCATCATCACCTTACCTTGAGCAAACCTCTCCTCCGCTTCCATCCTCTCCCTCTCTGTGACCTGCTGCCTATCCAACAGCCCTACAGTTCTGAGATGGAACACGGCATAAAGGCGGTAGTGGGCCAGGTCGCACAGAGGATTCTTGGACAGAGACAGACTCACCAGATCTTTCAGAGGTCGTAGTCGAGCTACATCGCTCAGCTGTAGGAAATGTGACATGAATGGTATCAGGGGGGCGTTTCACAAAAGCCTTTTTTCAATGACAAATAACAAAAATCAGTGACAAATGTGCTCATAACCAATCAGAAGCAAGGATTTCAGTAGCTTATAACACAAATTGTCATTTGTCACTGATGACAAGTTTTGTGAAATGCTCTCCTGATCTTTCTTGTTCCTTGTAAAAGTCAAATAATAACAAGTTCTTCCACTGCGCATTTCAGGACCGTAGGCCCTAACAATTTACAAAGTGCAATTTACAATTTATGGTAACACTTATCAAAAAGTTAAGTTTTAAGGGCTTTTTTGAAGACTTTGACGTCTGTGACGGAGCGTGTCGAGTAGCAATACTGGAAGAGCGTTATGATGTCTTTTGGGCCTCCACATGCCAGTGCTGTCGCCATAGGTCTTTATAGAATAGAACCAAATGTTTTGTAACAAATTTGAATAATAGTGCATTGACACTGTTTCCAAACAAATGCTATACATGAGTTTCATCATCTCTATATAAGGGTGAAAAGAGATGTTTTCTTTGTCAATTGTTTTATATTGGAATACATTTAAATCATGATTTTCACAATGTTTGAGTTACTTTTTTATTATTCTGATAATTTTTCAATATTTCAGAACTGTATTAGCTGGATTTATATCAATATAGCACTTTATTCAGAGGATATAAAAGTGCTGAATGCTGTCATGGTCCTGGGCCCCATTTCATAAAACTTGTTATCAATCAAAAGTTACAATAACTGTGATAAGTCACTGGTACTGAAATCATGGTATTTGATTGGCTAAAAGCAAATTTGTCATAGAAAATTAGCATTGATAACAAGTTTTATGAAACCGGGCACTGGCTTTAGCTGAGCCACCATGAGGCACTTAATATTTTCAGGTAATTTTTCATACCAAATACCCATTAACTTCAACAGAGTGGAGAGTGGCAGATGTAAATTCATGTCTTTTCACGGATGTTCAGTGTGATGGTAAGGATGCAAACTGTGTAACATGTCAGCCATAGTCAAGCAACTTACAAATATCCATTAGACCATGACATGAACACAGTAACCATACCCACCAACCTTCCATGGTAAAACTTAGGAATCTCTAAAGACAAAATTAGGAATACAGTCTATTTTGTATATTTTTCACACAAAATATTTCAGAAAAAGATATGAATTCAGGGTTCAAAACAATAGCTTGAAGGCCCCAAAATAGGAATAATTCCTCTTATAGGAATGGTTGGCAGCTATAATTGCGACTTAATCGATATTTTCCTATTGGCATTACTGTTGAACTATTTTGCAAACAAAGTATTATTTTTGCCACGTCTATTATTGCAGTGTCATATCTTTCTAAATGTCCTATGATATTTTATTTTAACTGTTCTGTATAAACGTTATGCTTTCTGATGTAAATATGTTCATGTTTATTCAGGGCCCCATGGAAGACCACTACTTATTGGTGAATGGGCTACCCTGACGAAAGATTATAAATAAATAAATAAATAAATGAGTAACCCATACCTGCCAACATTTGAAAATGAGAATTATAAATTATAAATTTTGAAAAAACAGAATATTCCAGATTTTGGGGTCCTAAAAATCCAGCCAAACAGAATATTCCGGATTATTCAGAAGGGTTGGTAGGTACGGTAACCCCTTAGAGCCAGTATTGACTCTAAAAACGTCACCTCTCCCACTTACAGAGAAGAGCATGTTGCCTTCCATGTGGAACTCCCTCAGAGCCTTGAGCCTCTTGCCAAGCCAAGCCGGTATGGTCTCGATCAGATTGTGGGACAGGTTGAGGATCTGGATGTGCAGCAAGGTCTCCAGGCCCTCGATCCGAGCGATGCAGTTACAGCTCAGGTCCAGCTCCCTGAGACGGGTCAGGTGGGCCAGGCGTTCCATCTTCTGGATCTGGTTGAAGGACAGGTTCAGGACCTGGAGCCGCTTCAGTCCCTCAAGGTTCTCAATGTACTGAACAAAGAAATAATAATAATAATAATAGCTCGTTCTTATATTAGCGCTTTTCAGGACCGGAGGCCCTCTCAAAGCGCTTTACAGATAAGTATATTATTACCCCGGTCATTGGATTCAGGCTTACCCGCACACAATGTATGCACATTCTCCACTCCCTGGGGAGCATTCCAGCTAGGCATCATTTTTACAAGCGCACACTTGCTAATCTAACCACAGTAGCTTTCGCATGAAATAAGATCTGTAAGTACTTGGAGTGCTGCTGGCTAAAGCAGGGGTCTTGTTAATTATTTTTGAAGGAGGTAATTTGAATTTTATAGGAGGTACCATCACTGCGAGGGAGCGACCGAGGGGGGAGGGTGTGGGAGGGGGGTGTCCCCCCTCACACGGTAGGGACCTTTTGGGATTTTCCACTTGAACTCGTGCAATCTGGTGCATACCTAAGAAGAAAATTTGTAGTTATCTTTCCTACCTTGTATTACACTCATGTTTAATATTACATGAACAATCATAACTCATAAGAAAAGTTATTAAGTTGATAATTATTTATCACTTTGTACCATTACTTTGTAATTTTTAATTAAACTGAGATGATGCACCATACTCAATCTTTCTACATTATGATTTGTTGAATACATGTACAGTATTTAAATAATGGGCAGCAGAGGCTAGATTTTGATTTTTTTTTTTACTTGTGACTTTTATTTGGCTCCCCATATGAATTCTCATTTAATTAATAGCTGCGGGGGTCCGCCAGGGACGGCCGTGGCCGGCCTTAACTCAGCCGAGTTCAAAACTCTGTTGCCGATTTGCGCATCTCAGAATCTAAAGTACGTTGTCTCTAGACATTGCACGCACGTGTATAGGCCCCGGTTTCCGTGATCTTCAAATATCAAATCGGCAACGGATAGTTTGGTTACAGCGAGCTAGCTTCAGTTTTGTTATGATCAGTGTGTATATATTTTGTGCAGTGCACCGTCTTCTCGCGTGCACATCGGGATCGCAATGGGGTAGGGACGGGCGGGCTTGGCCGCCGCGCTGTGGGGGGAGAACTGCGATGTAACGTTAGATAGATAGGTCTAGGTAAGTACGGACGACGTCGCGTTCGTGATCGTAAGGGATTTCGTCGACTGCGGCCGTGTATGTGCGGCACTAATTATATCTTGGACGAAATTAAGGAAATTTTGGATTAGCATTGATTTAGATCTACTTTCTGTGATTTTTGCAATGTTTATTATAGGAATTATAGCCGGTAAGAAACGAGTGAATAGGCGGCAAGTTTTACCGGTAACCGGCTTTAAACGACAGCCCTGTAAAGGCAAAATGTATATTAATGTTCAACAAGAGCAAGTGCTATGACAAGTACCCCTGCTTTTGGAAATAAATCCTTTAGTGCTGTACTACTATTTTTCGAAAAAGAAGAGCAAGGCTTTCTTCTTGAAACCAAAGCAGGTTCATGATTTGAGAAGTCAAAGATGGTCTTGTTCCACTGATTGTATCAAGACAAAAGGCTCTGGGATTAAAAAACACATACAGCGGAAGTAAAATGGCTAGACATGCCTCTAACTAAGCATTTATACATTATTCTTCTTCTTTTTATGAGGGTAAGTTATATGTTGAAATTAACATTTTAATCACTGCTGTATTATAAACATAATCTTCATCAAACAATAATGCCAATGATAGTGTAAAATCACAATTCCATACCCTTATTTTCTTGCCATCATCTTTCCTGACGGTGAGGCGAAGGGATAGCACATCAGTCAGGCTTTCCTTCCCCGTAGTCTGTTTGATCAGACCCTCTGTGATGTAGCGAACCGGGGACTTTGATGGGGATGCTGCAGTTAAATAACAAAGATTAATTAATTAATTAATTACAAGCATTTCTATAGCGCCGTCTATCTAGAAATCATTTTCCGAGGCGCATTAATTATTACCCAGGCTTAATTCCTGCCAGGTTCCCATTTGCCTCGCTTGGGTCAAGTGTGGCAAATGAAGATTAGTGCCGTATCGGGGATCGAACCGCGACCTTTGAATTTCAAGTCAAGTGCTTAAACCACTCGAGTGATTGAGTGATTGATTTTATTTTAAGGTGAAGACTGAAGAATGATTTGCGAGCTTCCTTTGGATCTCTATCGACATGTGGATGTCACATTTAATGTGCTGTTTTTTTAAGATGGAAGGAGATTCCTGCATTTTAAAATCATCTCAGATAAACTGTTTATTTTTGTTCTCAGAACCCAGTGAGGCACTTCACTATACATGTTTTGTATGATATAGTAAAGACAAGTGCAACTTCAATTTCATTTAATTCCAATAAAAGCATATGCATGTACGGTACACATACAAATCAGAAATAAAGCAAAGATGCAAATCATTATACATGGAATCAAGGGTGCCATAAAAAACCAAGGCGGTCTTGTAGAGAAAGTTCCCTTTGCTTGAACAATATTGCTCATGAAATATCTAGAAAAACAATATCAAAACAAAAATAACAATTGAAAATTAACAATCAGAAGAAAAAAAAGGGAAAAAAAAATCACTCACTCTCTTCATCTCTGTTCTCTGTAGGAGGTGCCTTTTTAACAGGGGCAGCTCTCTGGGGTGTTTTGGGGAGCTTCTTCGATGGACCAGCGCCAGGTCTCCTCTTGATAACACCCGTCTGTCCTCTCTTCATTGTAATGCCAGTCAAGTCTTTACAATGTATAAATGTAGACGTGGGTCCCAGGAACAGCCAAATTCATGTTGTAATGGTTCGTCTTGCTCTGTCTTGGTTCTACCATGCAATGTCAAGTATGTAAGAGTGGAAAGAAAGAGATATTCAAACTACCAGGTTAACAACAATATATGTTTTTCAAGAGAAATGATATATTATCTATTGATTTTTTAATATGTCTTTACATTTGATATTCAAAATGATGTAATTTATTGGATTTTCTGCGTGGATTACGCTTTTATCGCAAGACTTTTCGCGTGTACAGTAGGACGTCACACTCGTTGAGGCTGGTGTTAAGCCATCGATAACGTGCATGTGTGATCAGTATCGTCCTTCTAAACTGACCGTCGGTGTTACTTGGAGCTCAGTTCAGCAGCCTTTCCACGTTCTCAACACCAACGGCAACACCAACACGGCAACACCGAACACCATACTTGAAATCACTCAGTGATACTACCAGATTACAAACACAATTTTTTTTAAAGCTACCTATTAATGCAGGGGTAGTAGTGCCAAGTTTTCTACGTCAAGCCATCATTGTACGCTCGCAACTTCTCTCTCAGACGTACCTAACTCAATCCCGGCTGTGTAAAATCAAGAAGGGTACGATCCGATTCTGCCAAGTGTGCAAAGCGGAAGAGGAGGACATCACACACTTCATAGCCAAGTGCAAACCACTCAGGAATCATTGTCAGAAGCTGGTCGACAATCTCCACCACAGGCCACAGGGGCGTACAGCAGTCGACACTCGCTCTATTTAGTCCAGATGACCCTGAGACTTTCACGCGGGCAGTCCTATTTCCGAATGTTCTAACTGTCTGCCCTAACCAAAAGAACCTTCTTATTAATGCATCACTGTCATTTTTATACAATATCCACTCTGCTCGTGCTAAATAATGGCAATCGCTAATACACTTTCTATAGGGAGGCCAATGCCCAAATCTAACTTTTTAATTACTAATTTGTTTATACTAAAACTAAGATTAAAAGAAAGCATTTACTTTCACTAAGAAAATCCACCCATCTGCCGACTCCAGAAGTTCCATCAAATAGGAGATATCCAGCTCTTTTTATCCAGCTTCCTTCTACGCCTTTCCGTACGTAAGAGCCTTGAAACAATTATATTTCATGTCGCAAAGTTACGTTCATAATTAGACAGGCCCGAGGGACAAAGTTCATGATGAAGTTTAAAACTTCGCGCGAAAGTGCAATCACTCAACAGCGGCTAGCCTTGAATCGGTCGCACACGTACACACCTTCTTCTTCTTAGTTGATCCCTCCACCGACACAGGCAAGCCCCGATGCAGGCTGAAGTCCAGCCATCAATGTGCGAACGATTACATCTTCTACTACTACGAGCCGAAGACGATGGTTCAAAAAAGGAAAGAAATATATATAATTCATTGATATTTACCTTAGATGTGTATTCCAATAATTTGATTTCCTCATGAGTATTCCTTATTATCAACAATCGAGAAGTTACGAGGTCCAATTAAAATCCATCTTGCAGCGAACACAATCATAGCGCACATCCATGCATGCAACGTACGTGTACTAATATTTCTCTCACTCTCTCTCTCTCCCTTTCGCTATACGTAACATACACACTCACTAACCATGTATCATACAACACACACCTTCAAATCATGGCTTTCATTTCAATTCTCAATTGGAGTATAGACTGCTCACGTAGAATTTTTTTTTTACTGAAATATCTTTTTTAACACTTCTCATACATTACTGCACGACACTCGTATCTAGTGCTGTGAGAATAAGGTACTAGGGTCTATAAATAAGACTACGCTTTGCGCACGATCTGACCGGAGCTCAGATTATGTCGCAATACCCTTTATTTTTGGCGCGAACAATGACGTCACTGTTCACTGTTTTCCTTCTCATTTTGAGATGGATGTAGCTATAGGGCTCAAACCAACGCAAGATTGACAGAAACATCGTACTCTATCTACTTTCGAATGTTCAGTTTGTAAAAATCTGTATTTAAAAAGATATAATCTTTTTTCTTTATATTTTCTAGTTGTTAGAAGTGGCAATTGTGAACATCTGAAATGTTGATCTCTATCAAAAGTTCTTTACTCAAAACGGACCCCATATTTTTAGGGTCTACCTTCTGCCAATGAGAAGGTTTTTAGTGAGCAAACCTCTACGCCCTCTAGGATTTTCTTAGTCGGTGGTGCGAGTGCGTCAAGGTCGTCTGCAACCACAATTATTGGATTAAAAAACGTCAAAATCTGCAAGATTGTCAACAAATGGTGAAAGACTGTTACAGATCCGTGATTATAGGTATGTTGTAAAATGTATAATTGTATTTTCTTTTCTTATTTTCTTCAATTTTTATTTTTACATCATTTTTTTCCCTTTGCTAATTTTTTGAAGTGGGCGACGAGCGCACAAATCGTAGGTGTAGAAGCCTTACGCCCGGGCATTGGCCTCCCTACTTTCTACCTGACATGACAATCCTGCCTGCTATGAGTAGATCTAGTATGACAAACTGCAGTACCCGGCCCTGGTAGCTGCTGATCTCCAATAGAGCGGAGGAAGAAGAAGAAGAAGAAGAAGAATGCAGTCTTCCCGATATGGAAATCATATTTCATATTTGTAACTACCGACACACCTCCCAACCCCCCCCCCCCCCCCCCTGTCCAGTTACCATATTTTTACCACACACAATTTTTAACGTATGGGACAATTTAAAACAACAATGTACAAATGATCTCGTTAGATTTGGGGGATGAAATAAACCTTACTTTGAAAAAAACATTAATCATGTATAAAATGAAAACTGAAGTTATAATGAAAACTCACCGTAAGCACAGAAAGTTTGATTACAGTGGTTCATCCACAGTTCAAAATACAAACCCGTAAAAGCCGTTCAAAATGCCGCCATGTTTTGTTTCCCAATATAGGCAATATAGTCTACGATTTCAAGCTGCAATATATACTAAGCTTTATGAAATGCATTAAGGTTGGACCTTTCAACATATTTAGGGCTGATCTAAATAAAATCTGGAAAGTTTACATTTTTAAAATATCAAATTAATAAATGATTCATTCCATAACTCTTTGGAACTACCTAATACTTTATTGATTTGATATTCAGTTTAATTTACAGATATATGATAGGTCTATGCAAGAGACTAGGTAGGGGCACAAAAGAGACCCCGCCTACTTTTGGTAACAACAATAGTTCGTGATCATACATTCACATGAGCAGTAGGTTTAGTAGTAGACGTAGACCTACATGTACTGTACACTACTCAGGCGTAGACGACATCATATCATATAATTACTCTACAGTCATTACAATTACGTAAGTGTGTAGTCCTTAATGGTTTGTTAGTTGATAAATGATCTAGAAGCAAAATTAAGACCTAGACATAGTCTAGGCCTATACCTTTTCCCATTTTCTTTTTCAACTTCAAGTCAAGTCAAGATGTCAGTTAAAAGTTTAGGATTATATATTTGAATAGACCTAGATCTAGTGATTGATTCACTGATTGCTTTGCGAACATCAATTCTAAATTGCAATATGTTATGAGTGATTACCAAAACTCAAAAGATACAACCATAGTACATACAACACATTTAATCTGTAAAATAGTTACTTTCCAAAAGTGTTATTCTCGATTTTCTGCATTCATATTTTCTTCTTTTTCCACGATGCACGCATCCGCAGGATCTTCCACCTTGATGCTGCCTTAATTTGGCAGCTTGAGACAATGCAACGTCCATCATGTTGAGATACAGACTTCTGACCTTTGATGTGAACAACACCCTGATGAGGGTGCGGAACTCTGTCGGAGACCAGTACAGGAAGGTGGCCAAGCAGTTCGGTGTCAACATCAAGGCGTCCGACGTTAATCGAGAATTCAGGATCGCTTACAAAGACCAGCTCTGCAGGCATCCCAACTTTGGAGTCACCACCAGCCAGACGACGGAGCAGTGGTGGAGTGAGGTTGTTCATCGTACCTTTCACGCTGCAGGATGCGATTGTGACAAAGAAACCCTTGATAACGTGTCCTCTAAACTCTTCAACAACTTCAAAACAAGCCAAACATGGGAAACATATCCTGAAGTCAAGGAGATGTTGATTTTTTTAAACCGCAATGGAATCGCACTTGGAGTGCTATCAAACAACGACGAGCGGTTAATGAGTGTGATGAAAGCAGTGGATATTGCTGAGCATTTTGCGTTCATTCTTCCATCAGCCTTGGCAAAGTGTGAAAAACCTGATGCAGAATTTTTTAATATGGCTTTAGAAAGACTGAATATTGAACCTGGGCTCTGTGCTCACATAGGAGATAATGTTAAATTAGACTATCATGCAGCAAGAGCCGTCGGAATGGATGCATACCTCGTCGATCGGGAAGGTACGCTCATAGAGAAGCACCCAGAAGTCAACCCTGTACATGTCCTATCTGATATATCTGATCTTGAACCTCTGATCTTCATGCAATAATAACCTAAGCTTGTTCTTGAGAAAAATTTATATGAGTTTTTTCTCCTGACATGACTGTGTATGTATAGATTGACCGACCGACACACTATTACTGATATATACACTGTACATGAAGCTGTAATACCAAGCTGGTAACTTCTTGGTAATACTATACAAATGATATCAAAGTTCAAACTATGCATCTATTATAGGCTTCGTAAGTTCGTACCAAAAGGTGCTTAAAGCCTCAACAAGAGCGGATAGATCCTGTAATGAATCAATGAAAATAAGTATCTTTCGTTTACTACAACTAACCTCCCAGATTTCTGTAATTTGATGTTAGAATAATTGTTTTCAAGAATATTCTTGATTGTATTGCTGACAAAAAAATAGGAAGTTTAAAGGTAAGTTTTGGAAACGCCTCTCTCTCAAAAATGAAATGGAAGCTCTATTACCTATCATGTGAAAGAATATGTTTTGACTAATATGTGATGATACAAATTTTGCTGGGAAACCGCCTACTAATGGATATATTTGGTAAATCATTATATCTATGTTGGCTGCAATCATTGTAGATTGAAAGTTAGAAACTTTGGTTTTTAAATATCTCTTAAATTATTACCCCTTACTGAATACTGGTAATTTTGTTTGTTTACAATATTGCCTGGTAAGGTGTTAGCCATTATTTTCCCCAAGGGGTTATTCTTTTCCCCCTAAAGCATGCAGCCGTCTCAAGCATCTGAGGAGGGGGGTGTTTCACAAATACTAAGATCGACTTTAAGTCACTAGTTCCTCCAACCATTCCTGGCATTGGTTTCTCAAGGGACATATAAATCGTGGTCACAAATCTACAGAATTTACATTTAATGATAGTTCATTATTGAAGAGAAAAATATTATCTAAAGATCATAATTGAGAGATCAATAGTGAGCGCAACCAGTGGCATGAATGGCCTACCATAGTTAAGTCCAAACTTAAATGCGATCTTAGTCTTTGTGAAACACTTCCCAGGACCCCAAAATAATGGAAAGGACTTCTCCATTGCAACCACAATAGTAAATGAAATCATTGCCGAAGCTATCTTCCACTGGAATCAAACCATTTAACTTCCTATATGAGAAAGACTTAACTGTTTCGTTGTTAACGAAACTGGATAATCATCAACCAAATTCACATGTTAATGAGTAGTATTATTATGTGGATATATGTATAACAATAAAATAGATACAATATAATTCAATTTAGAAAATTGTAAGGCATTTGTTTTTGGAATAGATAATATCTTTAGAGAAATGGGGGGGGGGGGGGGGGGCAGACGGGAGAGTACAAAAACAAAAGGAAAGAGGAACATATCTACATTTGATTTGATTTGAATTTGATTTGAATTTATTTCCATATATCACAACCAAAATTTGAACAATTAATTATACAAACAAACAATAAATTAAAAAACGAAATACAATTAAATGAATAAATTGAAGACTAAAGTACAATAAAATATGACATACAAATAAATGAAGCACTCACCAGGGATGAAAAAAGTCAGTCATGAGAACAGGAAATGGGCATATGTCGACGGAAAAGGAGCCCCCATCAGAATTTGATAGGGCATTTATAGGAGGTGAAAGGGGGGCATTTATGAAGTTTGAAGTTTGAAGTTTGAAGTTTGAAGTTTATTTATTCCACATTTTACATAAGAAAGTTTAATTTTGTTTAACTTTTTTTATTTTTGTATACAGGCGTTTATCATTTAAGAGTAGATTTCACACAAGAAAACAAAATTTAAGATTTCAAATCAAGTATAATGTACGGAAAATAAGTACAAAATTTCGAAATATCTAGATATAACAGGCCAGGGGCGGATCTAGCTTTTTGCTAAGGGGGGGGGTTTGACCAAAATAATGACGATGCGGAGCATCGTCCACGAGCCGCGAAGCGGCGAGCCGATTTTTTTGGGGGTGTTTATTTGAACTCCGTAAGTGATGTTTTCCTGGCATCTATTAACACAATGGAGACCATAAAAAGCAGTGCATGATAACGTCTTTTTAAATCAAGTAACAGTAAATACACAGTTATATCCAGAGTTATCATGTGTTTGGTTAAGTTACCAGATGAGTTGAATATCTTCTCACAATATTTGCACTTGAAAGGGTTTCTCTCCAGCGTGCGTTCTTTTTTCTTTCTTTTTTTTTTTTTTTTTTTTTTTTTTTTCCTTTTTTTTTTTTTTTTTTTTTTTTTTTTTTGGGCCGCCCAAGGGGGGGGGGGGGGGGTTTAAACCCCTAAACCCCCCCCCGTAGATCCGCGCCTGCAGGCAAGGTAAAAAACAATGTAAAATGTGAGGAGCCTAAATAAAAAGCATGGCATGTATGTGAATAGGCTACCGTACTGAGTACACAATATAGTAGGTCTGAATTTAAAAGGTATTATAGGAGGCGAAAACGGAGTAGTATAGTATGAGATTCTAGAGACGTACAAGGAGAGTGAATTTGAGAAGAAAAGAAAAATAGAATAAAGAGTAAAGAAAATAATTTAATAATGATAAGTAGGAGAAGGTGAAGAAGGAAAGGAAGAAGAAGAGGAAGACGAACACGCAGGCGCGGATCTACGGGGGGGGGGGTTAGGGGGTTCAAACCCCCCCCCCCCCTTGGGCGGCCCAAAAAAAAAAAAAAAAAAAAAAAAAAAGAAAGAAAGAAAGAAAAAAAGAAAGAAAAAAGAACGCACGCTGGAGAGAAACCCTTTCAAGTGCAAATATTGTGAGAAGATATTCAACTCATCTGGTAACTTAACCAAACACATGATAAAAAGGCTGGATATAACTGTGTATTAAGCTGTTACTTGATTTAAAAAGACGTTATCATGCACTGCTTTTTATGGTCTCCATTGTGTTAATAGATGCCAGGAAAACATCACTTACGGGGTTCAAATAAACACCCCAAAAAAAAATCGGCTCGCCGCTACGCGGCTCGTGGACGATGCTCTGCATCGTCATTATTTTGGTCAACCCCCCCCCCCTTAGCAAAAAGCTAGATCCGCCCCTGACACGAAGTGGAAGAAGAAGAAGAAGAGAAAGCAAATTGATGAAATCAATGGCATTGTAAAATAACCAAAAAAAAAGTCTGTATATAAAAAAACAACCTGTACGATCCAGCGTGACATCAATATTACTCCAAGGCCCTCCCTCGAACACCATGGTGGGATAACTTATGGAGTAAAATATCGTGATTAATTGTATCGAAGGCCTTGGAGAGGTCCAGGAAAATACCCGCAGTATGTGACACATTGTCGATAGCATTTGCAATCTTATTGATAAATAATAGAAGTGCGTGCGCGTTTGAGTGGTTCTTGCGAAATCCAAATTGGGAGCCGGAGAAAACATGATTACAATTCAAAAAAGTAACAAGGCGAGAATAAACAAGGGGATAGGTCCCTTAATTATTAGAAAGGAAAAGGGGCACGTATATT